ACTTTACCCAAAGACCCAAATAATATTATTCAAATTATGTGCACGACTATATTTAATCCCCCCGTCAATCCGCGCCCCACCTCGAGCTATTGTGGCTGTCCCGCGATAGCCCCCCACGCACGCTCTGCGTTACATCACACGGCGTGGTTTGATGTCCCCCACGTTCAGAGTGAACCCCGTGACTCCGCGCGCGCGACTCTCTGTGTTGTATTGACGTCGCAAAGCCCGGGGGGGGGGGGGGGGGGCATTTCCAAAGGAGGCCCCCACGTCTCTTCTAAGTCGTCACCAGCCCGAACCGTAAATCCCACTGACGTTACCGTGAGCACTCTGATGCCTGTACGCGCGCAAATAGGGCAAGGCCCAACGAGCTACGTTGCTCTTTTTCAGAAGCGACCCGGCCACAAACGATAGCCCGACGAAGTGGCTCGTCGCGTGGACATTTATAGCAGCAGCCAAACACTCCAAACGCGTGGTCATGTGGATTCTGAATGCGGAGGGAAAAACCGGAGGACCCGGAGAATAATCCACGCGACCGCCGCAAGACGCAACACTGCAAACTACAAATATACAGCAGCAGCAGCAGGCGTCAAGGTTGGGATCGAACCCACGACCTCCTGTATACCAGGAGAGGTAGTTAACATCTCACCACCGCGGCGCCCCCATATCAATGTTATGCAAGTGTTGCTGGATACCGTCTAATCAACGCATTTGTCTGTAACTACCGATTGTGCGGTCATTTTTGACGGTCGCTCTCTGCCTTTTGAACGTAGGCTTTCGCGACCAATATCACCCATAATACGGGGTTTTTTTTTAGTTAGATCGCGTAAATATATAAATGTGTGGTTAAATCCGCCACCACAAATCTGGTTGTCGCCTGATGAAGCTGGTTGTAATTCACTGGCGAAGCGTCGTGCTCAGATTGTAAATGTTGTGGCTTGGCTCTCCAACGCACCGGTGTTGCTGTACTAGTGCCGAATTGGCCACGTTCTGTTTACGTGACAACCCTTACTAGTTGGCTGTGTCGGGTGGTGGCGGGTTTAACGACACATTAATATTTATTAACGCGATCTAACACACAAAACCTGTCCTATGGTTGCCTTTTGGAGTTTGATGGGGAAAGAGAATAAAATAAAATTGTGATCAAACAAAAGTCTCCGAGATGGCCGCACTGTTTAATGACATACCCCCCCCCCTCCCACACACAAATGCAAAGCTCCCCCGTATAGCCTTAACGGACTGTTGGGGCAAGTGCTGTTAGCGAGCAGCACCTATGAAGGCCGGAACGGTACACGAGGGGGTGGGTGGCCAGCACCACGCCCGGCTGCCTTTGTCTCCCCAGTGGCGATGCTTACACACCGCACCAGGTACTCATTTGAGGCTGAGTCGACCTAGGGGAGGCCCAGGACCGGTTCAAATAATCGTCACCGGTGTTCAGGGTAAACGGAAATCGAACCCGGGTCGCCGGGTTCGCAGCGCAGTGCGCTAGCCGCTACACTACAGCGCCCCACACACACATACAATATAACCGGTATTTGCCATACCGTATATCCCATTGATGACATTATAAACTAAATTTTTGAGGAGAGTCCTGCCAATTTTTTGCAGTAAGGGATGATGCTGGTGTTGTTGCTATGCGTTAATCCATTGATGCAACAATCATCTTCACACACACAACATATTCCGTTCCTCCCTTAAAACAACCCCCATCTCTTCTCCCTAGCCCATCATGCGGCCCAAGCTCCCTGGCTACCTCAAACCCGATCACTACCACAATCAGTATCCCTATCACTACCCCTATCACTACACCAACCCCTATCACTACCCCTATCACTACCCCAACCCCTATCACTACCCCAACCCCTATCACTACCCCAACCCCTATCACTACCCCTATCACAACCCCAACCCCTATCACTACCCCAATCAGTACTCCTATCAGTACCCCAACCCCTATCACTACCCCTATCAGTATCCCGATCAGTACCCCAACCCCTATCACTACCCCTATCACTATCCCTATCACTACCCCAACCCCTATCACTACCCCTATCAGTATCCCTATCAGTACCCCAACCCCTATCACTACCCCTATCACTTCCCCTATCACTACCCCTATCACTACCCCTATCACTACCCCTATCACTACCCCAACCCCTATCACTACCCCTATCAGTATCCCTATCACAACACCAACCCCTATCACTGCCCCTATTAGTATCCCTATCACAACACCAACGCCTATCACTGCCCCGATCAGTACCCCTATCACTACCCCAACCCCTATCACTACCCCTATCAGTATCCCTATCAGTACCCCAACCCCTATCACTGCCCCTATCAGTACCCCTATCACTACCCCAACCCCTATCACTACCCCTATCAGTACGCCTATCACTACACCAACCCCTATCACTACCCCTATCAGTATCCCTATCACTACCCCAACCCCTATCACTTCCCCTATGAGTATCCCTATCATGAGCCCAACCCCCATCACTATCCTTAACAGTACCCCTATCACTATCACTACCCCAACCCCTATCACTACCCCTATCAGTACCCCTATCACTACACCAACCCCTATCACTACCTTATCACTATCACTACCCCAACCCCTATCAGTATCCCAATCATTACTCCAACCCCTATCACTACCGAACCCCTATCAGTACCCCTATCAGTATCACAACACCAACCCCTATCAATACCCCTATCACAACACCAACCCCCTATCACTGCCCCTATCACTACACCAACCCCAATCACTGCCCCTATCACTACATCAACTCCAATCAGTATCCATATGACTCTCCCAATCCCTCATTCACCACTCCGACCTGTTCTGCTGTCACCATAACCCCACTCTTTCTTTGAAGCGCCATCACCTAACGTACAATTGTCTTTGTTGTAAAGCGCCTTTGGATTAAGGCGCTATAGACAGTCATTGTGTATATATATGAAAGATGAGATGTATTGTAATAACCACAGCGTGGCGCGTGCCGATTGCCTGAACTTTGCCCGCGCTGACGATTTGAATTTCGCGCGTGCGTTGCGTGCGCTCTGGGGTCCAATAACCGTGCGGTAAAAATCACCCGCGGCTCTTACACTCGTTGATTTCTTTTATTACAAACTTTATTCAAGAGCTCTTTTTATGAACACATACAATGCCAGTTTGACGGTATTTGTTTTTGTTAATATATTTCAAAACAAGAAACGAATTTAAAACATCGTCCCAAATTAACCACCCCCCCACCCCCTCACCCCCCCAGGTGTGAATATTTAAAAGAGCTGAGGCCTCACTCGAACTCAAGGGACTTGAGAGACCCCAGGTCCCTGACCGTGGAGGTCCGTCCAGTTGGCCGGAGCCCGTGTCTCTCTTCCGCTCTCTCCCACTGTCTCCCGCACTCTCCACCACTCTCCCACTGTCTCCACCACTCTCTCTCCCGCACTCTCCCCCACTCTCTCCCACTCTCTCCTGCACTCTCTCTCCGACTCTCTCCCCCACTCGCTCCTGCACTCTCTCCCCCACTCTCCCACTCTCTCCCCCACTCTCCCACTCTCTCCCCCACTCTCCCACTCTCTCCCACTCTCTCCCCCACTCTCCCACTCTCTCCCCCACTCTCTCCCCCACTCTCCCACTCTCTCCCGCACTCCCCCACTCTCTCCCCACTCTCTCCCCCACTCTCTCCCCCACTCTCCCCCACTCTCTCTCCCACTCTCTCTCACTCTCTCCCCCACTCTCTCCCGCACTCTCCCACTCTCTCCCCCACCCTCTCCCCCACTCTCTCCTCCACTCTCCCACTATCTCCCGCACTCTCTCCCCCACTCTCTCCCCCACTCTCTCCCCACTCTCCCACTCTCCCACTCTCTCCCCCACTCTCTCCCGCACTCTCTCCTGCACTCTCTCCCCCACTCTCTCCCCCACTCTCTCCACCACTCTCTCCCGCACTCTCCCCCACTCTCCCACTCTCTCCCCCACTCTCCCACTCTCCCCCACTCTCCGTCACTCTCTCCCCCACTCTCTCCCCCACTCTCTCCCGCACTCCCCCACTCTCTCCCGCACTCTCTCCCCACTCTCTCCCCCACTCTCCCCCACTCTCTCTCCCACTCTCTCTCACTCTCTCCCCCACTCTCTCCCGCACTCTCCCACTCTCTCCCCCACCCTCTCCCCCACTCTCTCCCCCACTCTCCCCCACTCTCTCCCCCACTCTCTCCCCCACTCTCTCCCCCACTCTCTCTCCCACTCTCTCCCCCACTCTCTCCCGCACTCTCTCCTGCACTCTCTCCCCCACTCTCTCCCGCACTCTCTCCCCCACTCTCTCCCCCACTCTCTCCACCACTCTCTCCCGCACTCTCCCCACTCTCCCACTCTCTCCCCCACTCTCCCACTCTCCCCCACTCTCCGTCACTCTCTCCCCCACTCTCTCCCGCACTCTCTCCCCCACTCTCTCCCGCACTCTCTCCCCCACTCTCTCCCCCACTCTCTCCCGCACTCTCTCCTGCACTCTCTCCCCCACTCTCTCCCCCACTCTCTCCACCACTCTCTCCCGCACTCTCCCCCACTCTCCCACTCTCTCCCCCACTCTCCCACTCTCCCCCACTCTCCGTCACTCTCTCCCCCACTCTCTCCCCCACTCCCCCACTCTCTCCCGCACTCTCTCCCCCACTCTCTCCCCCACTCTCCCCCACTCTCTCTCCCACTCTCTCTCACTCTCTCCCCCACTCTCTCCCGCACTCTCCCACTCTCTCCCCCACCCTCTCCCCCACTCTCTCCCCCACTCTCCCACTCTCCCACTCTCTCCCCCACTCTCTCCCCCACTCTCTCCCCCACTCTCTCCCCCACTCTCTCCCCCACTCTCCCACTCTCTCCCCCACTCTCTCCCGCACTCTCTCCCGCACTCTCTCCCCCACTCTCTCCCCCACTCTCTCCCGCACTCTCTCCCGCACTCTCTCCCGCACTCTCCCACTCTCTCTCCCACTCTCCCACACTCTCCCACACTCCCCCACTCTCTCCCGCACTCTCTCCCGCACGCGACCCTCAGCTCTCGACTCGCCACGGCTCCTCCGCACCGATCGCGAACTCCGCCGCGCCGCTGCCGTTCCTCCCCAGGCCACTCTGCACTCGCACAAAGACAAAAAGGTCCCCCGTGCAGCCTCAACAGAGTGTTGGGGCAAGTGCTCTTCGCGATCACCCGTGAAAGCCGGAACGGCACACGAAGTGAGGTGGGTGGCCAGAACCGCGCCCAGCCGCCTTTGTCTCCGCGGTGACGATGTTTCTGCGCCGCGCCGAGGGGAGAGAGGCCCAGGACCGGTTCGGACAATCATCGTCACCGGTGTTGTGCCGTGAGTGGCGAGTCGAACTCGCGTCGCCGGGTTCGTCCGCGCAGCGCCACCGCTTCCACACGTGCACAACACACGAGCGGCTGCGTGATTGGGAGCCGTGGGGCTTCGAGCGATACTTACCGCAGAACCTGTTTAGAAATATTTTTTTTTATTATTATCATCACATCATTATTAACGTTCAGCCCTTTTGAAGTAGACATTTCGGGGGCCAACTTCCCCCCACCGGCCCCCCGCCATGGCAGAACTGGAGGGAAACTGCTCCCCCCCCCCACCCCCCCCCCCCACACTTAATTTGAGAATTTTGAGTTCCACGCCTCTGCCACAGAAGTCGTGCGCGTGATCCTCGTGGCGTTTCCGTGCTCACGAGCGCGCGGTGGCAGAGATGGGGAATGGTGGGGTCCGGTGTGGTGGTGGGGCGGGGCTGGTGGGGGTCTGGTGGTGGGGGGGGGCTGGTGGGGGTCTGGTGGTGGTGGGGGGGGGCTGGTGGGGGTCTGGTGGTGGTGGGGGGGGCTGGTGGGGGTCTGGTGGTGGTGGGGGGGGCTGGTGTGGGTCTGGTGGTGGGGGGGGGGCTGGTGTGGGTCTGGTGGTGGGGGGGGGCTGGTGGGGGTCTGGTGGTGGGGGGGGGCTGGTGGGGGTCTCGTGGTGGGGGGGGGGCTAGTGGGGTTCGTTGTGGTGGTGGGGGGGGGCTGGTGGGGGTCTGGTGGTGGTGGGGGGCTGGTGGGGGTCTGGTGGTGGTGGGGGGGCTGGTGGGGGTCTGGTGGTGGTGGTGGGCGACTGGTGGGGGTCTGGTGGTGGTGGTGGTGGGGGGTTAACGCGACTGTAGTTAGCGTGGCCGCAGCTCCGAGCGCACCTCGCCACCGACTTCGCCTCCACTCCTCGAGCCGCCGCCCTTGAGCGGCACGAGCTCGGCCCCCTCCTCCCCCTCCTCTTCCCCGGCCTCCTGGTGCAGCCTGCCGCGCCCTTCCTCCCCGCGCCCCGCGTCCATCGCCTGCAGCTCGGCGAGCGAGAGGTGGTGCACGATGCCGGCTCCGAACGCGTCTCCCAGCAGGTTCACGGACGTGCGCAGTCGGTCCCTGCACAGGTGAACGATGGCGGTATGTTAACTACCTCGCCCGGTATGCTCTTAAACTAAACCGGTTTTTTTTTATTTGACCAGGTAAGGCCCCCCACCCCCCCCCCCCCCCCCCCCCCCCCCCCAGCGATGTAGCTCTTTTTCAGAAGCGACCTGGTCATCACAAATGATAGTCCACCCAATTGGTTGATCAAGCATCGTGTGGAAACACTCCCCAAACCACCCCCCACATCATCATCATCATCGTGCTTCTGTCAAACCCCCAATGGTTTCAACTGGTGTGGCTGCCCTCCCACTGATGGTGTCCAATTGGCTAAAGTGCCCCCCTCCCTCCTCTGAAAATTAGTGAAGAATCGCTGCTCGAAAGCAAAGCACACGATATTTATCACAGCAAGTACAATGAATGTTACGGGTAATATTTTTAATTTATTTTAGTTCCTTGAACGTGCCGCAGGTTGCCAACCCCAGCGTTAAACCATGGTAGGAAAGTTTCAATTTTAATGCCCATATCATTCACTCCGGAAAGCCACACGTTCTCCGAGCCTTAAGCCGTTCTTGTTTTCAGATTCAGAATATTGATTTATACCGGAGGAATCCGATGAGCTATAAAGCTATTTTTCACAGGAGGCGAACGGTGTCAGAGCGTTACAACAACAAACGATACAAAGACACGATAAGAGTGCAACGACTAGGAATGGTAAACAAATCACTTTAAAATTAATTACAAATACAACTAAACAATGTTTCATTTTTTTATATATATGGCGGTATATAAACAGCTTGACAACTACCTCACCTGGTATACATGAGGTCATGGGTTCGACCCCGACGCCTGTACATTTGGAGTTTGCGTGTCTCTCTCTCACTCTCTCTCACTGTGGCCGTGTGGATTTTTCTCCGGGTCCTCCGGCTTTTCTCTCCCCATTTAGCAACATGCGTTTAGCCTCTTTGGCTGCACTGTAAATATTCACGCGATAAGCCACTTCGTTGAGCTGTCATTTGCGATAGCCAGGTCGTTTCTGAAATTAACAACCAAACAATCCATAGCTCAGTGGGCCTTACCTGGTCAAATAAAAACTAGCAACAAAACTGAAACCTTTATTTACAAGGAGTCATGTTTACATTGACCACAATACCTGCGGTCAGAACGCAAACAAAAAAACAACTCTGATAATGTATGCACTGTTCTTGAAATTGATTGGTCCACACCCTACAGCTTTCTTTAGAGCCTCGTCTCACATGGTATTGGACCAGAAGACGCCAAAAGGCGCACAACTCAAAGACAATGCGCCATCAGAGTATGAGAGCTCGGGGTAAGTATTTACACCATTGGAAACCTCATTTGCCAGTAACAAAATATGATAATTGTTTTTTTTACCCTTTTATCTGGCAACAAAACTGACACCTTTTTTTACAAGGAGTCATGTTTACATTGACCACAATACCTGCGGTCGGAACGCAAACAAAACACAACAACTCTGATAATATATGCACTATCCTTGAAATTGATTGGTCCACACCCGAGACAGCTTTCTTTAGAGCCTCGTCTCACATGGTGTTGGACCAGAAGACGCCAAAAGGCGCACAACTCAGATAAAAGGGTAAAAAAAACAATTATCGTATTTTATTACTGGCAAATGAGGTTTCCAATGGTGTAAATTCTTACCCCGAGCTCTCATACTCTGATGGTGCATTGTCTTTGAGTTGTGCGCCTTTTGGCGTCTTCTGGTCCAACACCATGTGAGACGAGGCTCTAAAGAAAGCTGTCTCGGGTGTGGACCAATCAATTTCAAGGACAGTGCCACATACATTATCAGAGTTATGTTTTTTGTTTGCGTTCCGACCGCAGGTATTGTGGTCAATGTAAACATGACTCCTTGTAAAAAAAATGGTGTCAGTTTAGTTGCCAGATAAAAGGGTAAAAAAAAACAATTATCATATTTTGTTACTGGAAAATGAAGTTTCCAATGGAAATAAAAACTAGTTTGGGTTTAATCGTGCGTCCCTTTCGCTTGGGAAGTTCCTAGAGATTGGATGAACGAACTCTGCCCTGCAGGGGAGGTGGGGGGGGTGACGCTCACAGGAACCAGTCGACGGCCACCAGCAGACTGATGTCAGACGTTGGGAGTCCCACGGCCGTAAGGATGATGAGCATGGTGACCAGGCCGGAACTCGGGATGCTAGCGGCACCCACGCTCGCCAGTGTGGCCGTCATGCTGGCGAGGGTTGGGGTGGGGGGGGGGCATAGCAGCGTTAGACAACCACGTGATACTGGGGAACGGTGGTGCAGTGGTTCGCGCACTGCGCTACGAACTCGAGTTTCGCTTCCTCCTTCCCTCCCCTCCCCCTTCTTACTCCTCCCCTCCAGCCACGGCACGTGGTGTACCTGACGACCACGATCTGTCCCCCGTCGAGCACCACGCCGTTCATCTGCGCGATGAAGATCGCGGCCACGGCCTCGTAGAGTGCCGTGCCGTCCATGTTGATGGTGGCACCCACGGGCAGCACGAAGCGGGTCACCCGCTTGTCGATCTTCAAGTTCTCCTCCAGGCAGCGGAACGTGACGGGAAGGGTTCCCGCGCTGCGCCCACACAAGGCACGTGCGTCTGTTAGGCTCTCTGTACGTGCGTCGGGCTTCTGTTGCACCGTGTGTAGCCAACCGTGCTCTGCAAAGGTGACATTACTCTTTGGTCCTTTCGGTAAAGTCACGTAGGTATACTTTATTTTCTACCTACGTGACTTTACCGAACGAACCAAATAGTATGGATTCCTGCAGTCACGAAAGCTTCAAATCAAAGGAAACATTACAAAGGATTCCTTGCAGGCTGGATCTTATCTCATGTAGATTTATGTAGATGTTTGCGTGTTGAACTTCTTTTGCACCGTACGTGGCCAACCGTGCTAATCGGAGGCGCAGAGGGCACGGGCGACAAACTGAAAACACAACAAGCAGTTCTAGAGAAATTAGTTTTCAATCTAAATTTAAGAGTGCATCCTTCAAGTGGCTTCCTAATATCGGAAGGTGCGGTCTGAGGCTGTTGTTGTTGTCTTGCTGCCTTGCCGCAAGGCTTGAATTTGATGTTGACAAATCGGTAACAAATTATTTGCGCGTGCAAATAGTATTTATTTACCTTATTTATTTTTAGAGACTTGCCTACCGACCTTTGGCACCTCCGATTAGCACGGTTGGCTATGCACGGTGTGAAAGAAGTTCAACAAGCTCTATATTACACTCCGATTGTGTTTTTGTATTGTTGTTTTAACTCACTGACCCATCGCTACTTGACATCCATGCTGACAAAAAAATATTCATAGCTTCATAGCTCATTCGATCAACAAAGATGCTGACAACTTACGGTGCTATGGATGATGATCCTAGTGATGATGATGATGATAATGCAAATATTAATGACACTGCTGCTGTTCAAAAAGATGATGCAAATTCATGGCGCTGCTACTGATGATGATCATGCTGTTCGCTGACGATAGTGAACATCTCCTCCTATATTGCCAACATTATTTTGCTGACGTTCGTATGTCGATTGAAACGGAGCATAACAATTTACAACGGTAGGCGCGCGCGGCACCGTAAGTTGCCTGCAAACACGCCATCGATCACCGCGCTTTGCGAGCGTTGGAAATAGGAGAAGCCGAACCAGGAGGCGGTGCCCAGGGCCATGAGCCACGCCTGGAAGATCCCCACGAAGAACTTGAGGGGGTTCTTGCGCGTGATGACGAAGTAGACGAGCGGCAGGATGACGGCGCCGTGGATGAGGAGCCCCACGATGACCGTGAGCATGTACATGCCCAGCTGGCGCATCACCACGTGCAGGTCGCTGAGCTCGGCGATCTTCCCGCAGATGAGCGAGGCGATGCCGATGGGAGAGTACCTGTCCCCACGCGAGCGCAAGCCACGCGGGAAACCGCCGCCTTGAGCTGCGCGACTCCGCAAACATCGAAAGCATTTCGTTCGCGATTCATTGGCGGTTGAGTTTTTTTATCGTGTGTCTATAATAAAGGGCTTTTTTTGTGGGTTTACTCTCCCAACACAGCGGTGTGCTGTACTCGTAACGTTCTGTTTCTGTTTACGTGACAAACCTTACTCATTGGCTGCGTCGGGTGGTGGCGGGTTTAACGACACATATGTCTACGCGATCTATGGATAATTTTAGTTGTGAAAGCCTAAAACGTGTTAAACACACATACAACAACAACAACCGCCATTCGCCACTAAGTGGCGGTGACGTCACCACGACGCTTGTGCCAGGCCATGTGCACCTTGAGGCCACGTGAAGTGTCGAACGCCCGCTGGCAGGCAGGAGGTCACGGGGCAGACCCAGGTGCCACGGGTCGACTGACTGAGATGACTGGCTGATGCACCACCTGTGCCCCCTACTGTGCCAACCTGCTGTGCTTTAGCCACCCGGCGCTCCGCTCGTTGTTGTGAGCGTCGCTCCTCCGCCCTCCGCTGTTGTTGGAGGGCGACTGCCTCCAACTGCCCAGTAGCGTCCTTCACGAGCCTCCTCCACAGAGGCCGATCTTGACACTGCTGGTACCAGTCATCGGCAAGTCCACTCAGCTCCACGTCTTCCTGTACCACATCACCCCATCTCTTCTCTAGACCGTGCCGCGCCCGTTTAGCCCCCTCGATCCGGCCGAACAAAAGCTGTTTCGGCATGCGGTGGCTGGGCATGCGGGATACATGACCCAGCCAACGCAGCCTTGCCTGCCGGAGGAGCTCACCGATGGGACCTTGCCCAGATCTTTCAAGGATTTGTGAGCTCCTCACACAATCCAGCCTGGTTAAACCCAGGATGGATCGTAGTAAGGCTAGCCTAATTGTTTCTAACCGGCAGAGATGTTCCATTAAGGGAGTCTACGTTTCGCAAGCGTAGAGAAGGGAGGGAATGACCGTGACCGAGAAGACCTGAAGCTTAGTGCGGAGTGAGAGACCAGGTAGCTTCCGCACAGCATTATGCAACCGATGAAAAGATATTGCCGCTCGACTGATTCGGAGTGAGACTTCTGCTGTTAAACTGGAGCCAGTCATAAGCACACTGCCCAGGTATGGGAAACTCTCCACTCTCTCCACAACTGCCCCATCACCGATTGGGAGTTATGGGGGTGGAGTGTCCGATGGTACAAAATACCCAGGCAGGTGCTTAGTTTTGGTGGGGCTGATGGTAAGGCCCCATCTCTTAGTGGCACGCTCCAGTCTCAGCAGCAGCGTCTCCAACTCCTCCTCTGAATGAGGAACTATTACCAAATCATCGGCATACATAACGTGGTTGAGCAATAGGGAGCCATCCCTTGACCGCACCCGGGCATCGATCAGCCTCTCATTATATCTGTACCAAATGGAGATTCCCCGGTACAGCTATTGAAGGCCTCACGAACTACGTGGTCAAAATATATGTTAAATAATGTGGGAGCCAGAGGACATCCCTGTCACACCCCAAGGTGTACAGGGAATGGCTCTGACTCCCGGCCACGTAGTTTTACCCGGGCCCGCTCACCATCATGAAGGTCCTTAATGATCGTGAGCAGGGGGTCAGGGACTCCAAAAGCATGAAGAACAAACCAGAGCCCACGCCTACTGATGGTATCATAGGCCTTGACCAGGTCAATAAAGCAGAGATGTAGGTCTTGTTGGAATTCCCTACACCTCTGTTGTAGCAGACGGACAGAAAATATGGCATCTGTGCAGGACCACCCTTTCCTGAAACCGCATTGGGGTGCTGCAAGCCTCTCATCAGCGTGCCTGGCAAGGTGATGTTGAATAATCCTAGCCAGGACCTTTCCCGGCACACTGAGGAGTGAGATGCCTCTGTAGTTGTTAGAGTCTGTGTGGTCCCCCTTCTTAAAGAGGGGAACCATCACGGCATCCTTCCAATCCTGCGGAACTCGTCCAGTGGTCCAGAGTGTTATGATGTCATATAGGGCAGTCTGTACACAAACGCTATTCTCTGACGTGGGATTCTGTAACCAATGACAGTGGGCCTGGCGCTTTTTCTCAACAATCCTGAACACCTCCTCTGTCAGCCAGGGTCTCTGGGGAGGTCTGGACCGCGTACCCAAAGCAGCCATTACAGCTGCATGAGGCACAGTCCTAAACCTCGCCCATTTACCCTCGACAACAGGAGGAGTGGGGGACGATGCCAACCCCAGCTGCAAGCGATGATGAGATTCTCGCTTGCAACTTTCATCAGCTAACTGAGACCAGACCACTTACGTTGGAATGGGGTCCTGGGTGTACACCCACCACCAGAGTGGAAGAATGGCAGGCGCATCTTACAGATGACTAGTCGATGGTCAGAGGGCAGATCAGCTCCTCAGTAGGTCCTGGTATCAAGGAAATGGGCTCGCATCCGCTGGTCCGTCACTACGTAGTCCAGCAGATGTTCTTGCTTGGACCCGGCATGCATCCATGATGTTGTGTGGATGCACCGATACCGGAACAGCGTGTTGGTAATTACAAGCCCATGGGCTGCACAAAAATCTAGCAGCCTCCTACCGTTGTTATTGAGCTGATCTGGCCCATGCCCTCCAATCACTCCAGACCAGGTGCCAGCATCATGACCAACTCGGGCATTGAAGTCACCCAACAAGATGACTCTATCCCGAGGGGCCACTTTAGCCAGCACCTGTGACAGGAGGTCATAGAAGGCATCTGACTCTTTGGCTTTGCCTGCATCCCTCCACGGATGTTCGTCTTCAGTGGGGGCATAAGTAACCACGACCACCACTCCTCACCTCCGGTTGATGGGAAGGTGAGCCCAAAGTAGCCTGGGGCTTACAGCTTCCCACACCTCACCGCCACGCTCCCACGCACCCTTCATTATTTTGTTCAAAAGAAGAGCCACACCCTGTTGTTTGGCAGTCTGCTGCCCCGAGTAGAGGACTGTCCACCCCTCATGGTGGCAGGAGCCAGAACCGGTCCACCGGACCTCCTGAATGCCACAGAGATCCAGGCGGTACCGGTCCAGCTCCCTACAGAGGAGTGGCAGCCTCTCCTCCGCAGTGAGCGTTCGAGCATTCCACGTGGCCACACGAAGTGGCTTTTCGTTGTTTCTGGAGGAGCCCCGAGGGTAGAGATTAAATCTCCTGGCTCTGCCAATTGGGGTTTGGCCAGGAGACGTCATAGACGCCTGTCCCCCTGGGGCCTCCTGCACAAGCTTATTAGTTATATATTTAAGTCGTGGTTTCGTGGTAATTTTTTGAAGGTGGAGGGGTTACCAGCCCCTCACACCCGCCCAGAGCCCCCGTTTAGCCACTGTGGTGGTCACAGACGCCATGAGGGGAGAGGGCCAATCGGAATTGGCCCTCTCCCCACAGCACTGTCCACGACAGAGTTGCCCGTCCGGCACTGCGAGGAGGTAGGGGGTTGTTTTGCCACACACATACACACACACATACAACAGTTCCGCGCGCTCCCTGTCGCCGCACTCGCCAGATGACGATGATGATGAGCCGCATGACAATCTCGTTGAGGATGCTGAAGAACTTGAGCATCGGCGTGGCCTCGTCTCCCATCTTGCCCAACACCACTCCGAAGGCGATGACAAAGCAGACCAAGCCTACGCAGAAGCACACGGTGGGGTTGGAGGTTTGACGACGCGCAGGGAACGCACAGCTGTGCCCCCGTTTAAAAGCTCGCGGCCCTTATCCAGACCGCCAGCTCCGCGGAACTGAACAGGTGAGCCAATTTGTTGTAGGCAACGTGGCCGTCCCAATAACATGCTCGCCAGCAGCGGCGGACTTTGGCTAAGCCATCGAATAATGGCGTTCAGTGCCACCGCGCGCTGTCAGATGCGCTTCTGCTGCCGTCTGGAACGCTCTTCCTTCCGACCCCCAGAGAGAGGGATGATGAGCTGAGTAAATCCCCCCGCGACACGTCCCCCCCCCGTCCCCCCCCATAAGGATTTGAACTGGAAACCGTCCGATCGCTCGATCTGAACTGATGCAGCCACCCCGTTGCTCCGTTAACTGATTGGTTGAGCTCTTTTCTCTCCCCGTGGGAGAACGTTCGCTCAAAGTCACGCAAACGTTCGCCGAGCAGTACAGTAACAAACCCACGCACAGCGATTTACCCTGAACGTTCATGCCGTCCATGTAGACCAAAGTCTTGGTGGTGAGGAGCTGGAGGCCGTCCGCCTCGCTGGAGTTGCTTGAGTTGTACGCGGGAGCCGGCGTGGAGTCAGGGAGGTCCATGGCGAGAGCTTGGCTTGAACTCAGGTTGGCAACGTCTCCGGCCAGCGTAGGGCGCACCACCACCGTCGTGGTCACCGTGTGGATCTTTGCGCAGGGGGGTGGGGGGGGGAACGACACCAGCGGTGGGTCAGGGACACATCCCCCCCCAATATTCAAATATGCTCAAAATGTTCCCCCCAATATATTGCTATCAAAAATATGTAAAAATAATTGCTCTGCTATGTAAATAAAAATGACAATTTGCTAAGCCTTGGCCACAATATCTGGACTTGTCTTCATATAACAATGCATAGATTTCTGTTTATATGATTGTGGTTATGGTTGTACTTTATTAATCCCTAATCTCTGCCATTACATACAATGAAACAAGAAAACGTAAAAAAGAAACAACAGAGCAATGTAATACAACACACTATTAGACATTATTGTAAAAAAAAAAAGCCCACCCTATGTGTTAGTGAATTTTAAATATTTTAGGCAGGAAATTAGTTTTCCAATATAGATTTTTTTTTCTGGGGAGGGGACCCCCAGACCCCCTGGAAGATTTGGTCCTCCCACCAATGTTGACTCCATTGCTACGTCCTTGGGTCAGGGACGTCGCGTTCACTCCGGATGTGTGGAATCGGCAATATTTATTTAGACTGCTGGAGGAAATTCCGATGAGCTCTGGAGCCCTTTTTCGCACGTGTCCCAGGCGGCGTGGGTCAGCGAGTTACAACACCGAACAATACCAAAAGAGATATACATTAAAACAACCCAGATAGGAGTGCACTTCGGCTATAAATCGCGGCTCCTCTTGCCTGCTCACATCATTACATGCGGTTTTTTTGTGTTCTTTGACACTGTTGTTGAAAACCTGTGTCGTGGTGGTTGTCAAGGGGGAGGGCCCCCAACTCGTAGCTTTAGCTACCAGGGGGGGTGGGGGGGGTGAGTGGGTGGGGTGAGCACCCCCTGCCTCCTCCCTCTTGTCCTCCTGCCCCCTGCCCTCTCGCCCACCGAGCGACACAACAACAACAACAACAACAAAAAACTGTCACCTGTTGCATGCACGCCTGCACGAGGTTTTCCGGGAATACGTTTCGAATGAGGTCTAAGATCGCGTCGAGACTCGACACCGCTTGGAGTTCCTCCTCGGGCCCTTTGTCCGGTTTCAAGCTGGGGTCTCCCGGGTGGATGGCGAGCACCAGGACGATGCCCAGGATGGCGGCCGTCACGGACGTGGCCATGTAGTAGACTAGGGCCCGGCAGCCCATACGGCCGCTCGACTGCGCGTCCAGGCCGGACAAGCCTGGGGGTAGGGGCGACATCGCGACGTGACAAACCACGACGTGACGTGACACACCGTCACGTGACACACCGCCACGTGACACACTGCGCAACGTGACACACCGCCACGTGACACACCGTGACGTGACACACCGCCACGTGACACACCGCCACGTGACACACCGCCATGTGACACACCGCCACGTGACAAAACACGCCGCGACGTGACACACTGCCACGTGACACCGCGCGACGTGACATACTGCCACGTGACACACCGCCACGTGACACACCGCCACGTGACATACTGCCAGGCGACATACCGCCACGTGACACACCGCGTGACGTGACACACCGCCACGTGACACACCGCCACGTGACACACCGCGACGTGACACACCGCCACGTGACATACCGCCACGTGATATACCGTGACGTGACACACCGCCACGTGACACACCGCCACGTCACAAACCACGCCGCGACGTGACAAACCACGACGCGACGTGACACACTGCCACGTGACACACCGCCACGTGACACACCACACGACGTGACACACCGCCACGTGACACACCGCGCGACGTGACACACCGCCACGTGACACCCCGCCACGTGACACACCGCCACGTGACACACAGCGTGACGTGACACACCGCCACGTGACACACCGCGACGTGACACACCGCCACGTGACACACCGCCACGTGACACACCGTGACGTGACACACCACGAAGTGACACACCGCCACGTGACACACCGCCACGTGACACACCGTGACGTGACACACCGCACGGCGTGACACACCGCGTGACCTGACACACCGCCACGTGACACACCGTGACGTGACACACCGCCACGTGACACACCGCCACGTGACACACCGCCACGTGGCACACCACGCCGCGACGTGACACACCGCCACGTGACACACCGCCACGTGACACACCGTGACGTGACACACCGCATGGCGTGACACACCGCGTGACGTAACACACTGCCACGTGACGCACCGCCACGTGACACCGCGCGACGTGACGTGACACACCGCCACGTGACACACCGCGCGACGTGACGCACCGCCACGTGACACCGCGCTACGTGACGCACCGCGACGCTCGAGGGCAGACCGGGTGGCGGCGCTACCTGTGATGAGGCTGGAGATGATGAGCGGCAGGATGAGCATCTTGAGCATTCGCATGAGAATTTCCCCGGGGAAGGAGATGATGAGGATGGTGTTCGGCTGCAGCTGGCCGGCTCGACGGAACACAACTCCAAGCAGCACCCCCATGATCACTCCTGTCGACACGTGGTGGGGGGTGGAGGAGGAGGGGGGGGGGATCAGGCATGTGGGTCAACAGATACAAGAAGAGCTAAAATGTAATGTGAAACAATACGAATAGGTGATGGTGGAGTAGGATTATTTTGGACCCACATCTAACAGAGAGGCGTGTCCTTGCCTGCAAACACGTGGCAATGCACCAGCGGGGCCTGACTCTGCTGCTGATGAGACAATGAGGGTCAAAACCGGTCCAGAGTTTTTGCTTGCATTAAACTCATCTGGCTGAAAAGAAAAAAACTCTCCCGGAAGGCCGCGTGGCTGATGGAATGTGCAGAGGCATATATGGGAAGAAGGAGGAAGACGAGATGGATTGCACGCCTGTTGTTCTGTAACATTGCATGGGGGAGGGGGGGGATAATGTAACCCGTTAAGCATCTTGTTTAATGAACACAACGTTTGTATTGTCTGCTGAACTTCTTTCGCGTCGTACGTAGCCAACCGTGCTCATCGAAGAGGGTGCGCGTGAACGACAACAACGCATCAACAGTCGCTCCCTGTATTCGCGTCCTCGCGGCGGGACGACGAAAGTTCTTTACACATCCCACGACGATGATGATGATGTTGTTGTTGTTGTTGTTCCTGACTGGGCATCTCACCTACCTCGATCAACCCTTGCCATACGATAGAAGCAGGCGAGTACATTGAATCGGTGCAGTGTCTTCAGGGTGCTGTCGGGCAAGGGCGAGGTCGCTTATCAGAATCATAATAATTATTTATACTGCAGGAGGAGGAATCCGATGAGCTATAAAGCTACACTCTCTTTGGTTTTATTCGGTAAAGTCACGTAGGTAAAACGAATTAAAATAAAATAAACAATTAAAACACGACGTTTCGGAGGCAACGCAAGCTTCCGTCTTCAGGTGGGACCAGTCACAGCCAAAATCGTTGCACCAACTTGGTGCAGCGATTTTCGACGTTTCGGAGACAACGCAAGCTTCCGTCTTCAGGTGGGACCAGTCACAGCCAAAATTGCTGCACCAGGTTAGTGCAACGATTTTGGCTGTGACTGGTCCCACCTGAAGACGGAAGCTTGCGTTGCCTCCGAAACGTCGTATTTTAATTGTTCATTTTATTTTAATTCGTTTTACCTACGTGACTTTAACGAATAAAACCAAAGAGTGTGAATCCTTGCAGTCACGAAAGCTTCAAATCTAGAATGAGCTATAAAGTTATTTTTCATAGATGGGCACGAGGACGGGATCATGGTGATCTTGTGTACCGCGTCACGTTGCCAGCGCAACGGCTCGGAGCCTCGCGTCAACTGCAACATTGACGGGGGGGAAAGATTTGTTCATGTCATAGAAAACATCGATTGGGAAATGACACTAAAGACACGAAAGTGCGCGTCGCAAAAAAAAAACGAGCGAAGGCAAACCGAAGTGTTGGTAGCTCACAACCATTCATCATCGTCGCCATCATCATCGTCGTCGTCGGCCGTGTTCTCTCCACTGCTGGATGAGAGCCTCTCGGTACCGTCCACCGCAGTGCTGTTCGTCGTTGCGGACATGTTTGACGTTTTGGGCCTTTGCCTTCAAAGTCGGAAATATTTATTTAATGATCTATTTTGTAAAAAAAAATTCGGCTGCGCTTTGCACGTGCGCGCCCTCCACCGGTGTGCGCGAACGTCTGCTTCTCAATCGCGATGCTCCCAAAAAAACACGTGCGTGTCACCACGTGCGTATAATTAGGTGCGTAAAACCACGTGCGTTTAACCACGTGCGTAAAACCACGTGCGTTTAACCACGTGCGTAAAACCACGTGCGTTTAACCACGTGCGTAAAACCACGTGCGTAAAACCACGTGCGTATAACCACGTGCGTAAAACCACGTGCGTTTAACCACGTAAGTAAAACCACGTGCATTTAACCACGTGCGTATAACCACGTGCGTAAAACCACGTGTGTAAAACCACGTGCGTATAACCACGTGCGTAAAACCACGTGCGTTTAACCACGTGCGTAAAACCACGTGCGTTTTACCACGTGCGTAAAACCACGTGCGTATAACCACGTGCGTAAAACCACGTGCGTATAACCAGGTGCGTATAACCACGTGCGTATGACAACGCGCACGGCCGTATTCGTGCGTTCCGCAGACATCCATCGGCAGGCTGCCGACGAGGAGCTTCTCTCGTCCCCTGTGTCCACGCGTCGCCGTCAAAATAACTCCGAGCCGAATGTGACCGATCCCAATTGACAGCGCGCAGCGGCGGGGTGATGTGCTAAGTGACAGACAACGGCGGGCCGTGCTAGCGTCGCCGAAAATAGGACTCATCAGCACAGCGGAGTCACCGCGGGTTGAGCTGCCAGCACAGCAGCGATCAATGCGAAAGCCTCGCTCGCTCAACTCGTGCAAGAAGCTGCTGAGTGGAGGCAAAGGTAATAGGTCACATCGAGCAGAACCAGGCCTGCAGGAGGGTGGTGGGGGTGGGGGGCAAAGCCATTGCGTAAGATCACGTAACAGGGGAGGCTCTCATCGTGAGCAACTCCCCCCCCCCTTCTCTGTGAATGGGCGAGGATTATCCCCATTCGTGTCACGTGGGCACGGGGAGCTTCTCCGATTTTGTCACCGCAGTTTTGGATCTAAGCGCTCCTGATTCAGTTTCACGAGGCGATGCTTGGAACGTAAAATGGAGCACATCGAAGACAAGAAAAAGACCCCCCCTCCCCCGTATAGCCTGAACAGATGTTTTTTTCGGGGGGGGGGGGAGTTGCTGGTTAGCGAGTAGCACCTATGAAGGCTGGAACGGCACACGAAGTGGTGGGTGGCCAACACCACACTCGGCCGTCTCTGTCTCCCTCGTGACGATGTTTTTTTTTTACACATCGCACACCGGGTACTCATTTTGGGGTTTGAGTCAACCTAATCCTGGGCGAGTGTCAGGACCGGTGCAGATGAATCGTCACCGGTTGTCGATGAGCCGCGAGCGGCGATCGTGAGCTCGGTTCGCCTGGGTTGGTGGCGCAGCGGTCGCTCGAACCTCTGCGCTACCGCTCCCCACCTGCAGCAGCAGCAGCGGCACCGGCACCGGCACGTGAATGGGGCCGTGATGGGAGTAGTCCCAGGCTCCAGCTGGAGAGGTCCTCGCGACACGCGAGGTCAGTGGCCTCCTAGCGAGGCATCGCCGCCTTTGCCCAACGCGCGCTTTCATAGAAGCCCCGCGAAATAAACTTTTGAACCAAAATTGGATTTTGAATTTTACCAGGTAAGGCCCGCTGAGCTCTGCAGCTCTCATTCATAAGCCAGAATGGCCACAAATGAGAGCTCAAACGAAGTGGCTCAAATGTGGAGGACAAAACCCGAGGAACCGGGGAAAAAAATCCACCCGACCACGGAGAGAGGAGAGAGAGAGAGAGAGCGCGAGAGATGTCAACTCCAAATATCCACGTGTCAGAGTAGGGATCGAGCCCACGACATCTCGCCACCGCGGCGCCCACGTTCATTGTTCCGTGAGCTCCACTTCGCAGTCCACGCCTCGTCCGGTGCACGGCCTTGGGCTTGACCGAAATTGCCTCCGTCGGTTTTAATTCAAGCTCGTGAAAGCACGCTCTGGATGACATTCGAGGGGGCTCTCTCGCATCAGACGTGTGCTCATTTGTAATTTGTAATTATAGCTTTTCCTCAAATGCTCATCAACACGGCTCGTGCGGTCCAAGGAGCGTGTGTGTGTGTGTGTACGTGCGCTACGAACCTGGTGGCCCGAGTTCGATTCCCGCTCAAGGCCAACCCCGGTGACGATTATCTGGACCGGTCCTGGGCCTCCCCTAGGTCGACGCAGCCTCAAATGAGTACCTGGTGCGATGTGTAAACATCGCCGCTAGGAAGACAAAGGCAGCCGGGCGTGGTGTTGGCCACCCACGCCCTCGTGTGCCGTGCCGGCCTTTATAGGTGCTCGCTAACAGCACTTGCCCCTAAAGTCTGTTAAGGCTATACGGGGGATATTTGTCTTTGTCTCTGTCTCAACGAGTGCAAGTCTGAAGGCCGCCCCAGGTGCGGTGATGTTTGCTGCACGGGGGGAGCGATGGCGCTACGATATTTGATTCCCGCTCACGGCCACCAACACCCGTGACGATTACCTAAACCGTGGTGCTGGGCCTGCCCCTTGGTTGACTCAGCCTAAAATGAATACCTAGCGCGGTGTGTAAAACATCGCAGTTCACGCTGTCTGCGGCACGTGTAACAAAGACAAAGATTAATCTTCTTGGTTCTGTCGGTAAAGCCACGCAGAATGGAAATTAAATAATAAAAAATAATAAAAGAAAATCTCACGACGTTTCGGCCACAACACAAGTAGCCTTCTTCAGGTGAAGGAACAGGACTGTCCAGAAGACAGCGCTTGAGTGAGCACTGCCAAGCAAGTGCAGCGTCTTTTAAGCTGTGTGGGTGGAATTAACATATGAATAGGGACAAGCTTCGGTACGGAGGAGGGGGGGGGGGGTTAAAAAGGGATACAACAAAACCGCCACAGTCCTCTGTCCTGTGTTGCGTTATAACTGTGCTATAAACTGGACTACTATACAATATAATATTATACCTTTCAATCTAAACTACATGGTATAATATCATATCCTAAGACTAATTCCACCTTTGAATTATACAATGCGTTACTATACAATACCCTATACTTTCGACTATAAAATATTAGACTTGTAATATTACAGTATGTCTTATTCTATCAACCCTAATGTATACCATATTGCTGTATATTCACTATACAATTACGATACTATATATTGCCCCATGAATTACGTTAAACATTACAATGTTATACTATTTATTATTATACAACATGCTATAAGCCATACCATTTACCGTCGTGTGAAAGGTATTAAGAGGCAGTGCCTGCGAATGGACTGCGGTCTGAAGGTCACCGTAAAATACAATCAATTAAGAACCGAAATGGTTTATAACATCTTTCCAATGGTTTCTGAGCCAGAATACATCTTCTCGGTTGAAATTGTCCTTGATTAACCAAGTCTTCAATGATTGCGATGGTGTCAAGTACAGGAACTTTGGTGAATAAGGAAACCACATCAAAGCTGACAAGCAGGTCGTCTGGGGACAGGTGAGTAGAGTTTAGTACCGCAGAGGTGGTTTTTCCAGTGAAAGGTCGCAGGATATCAGACAGAAAACGAGCCAGTTTGTAGGTGGGGGAGTTGATAGTGGAGACGATGGGACGAAGGGGTGTATCTTCTTTATGTATCTTTGGAAGGCCATATAATCTTTTGTGGTCTGGCCACAGAAGGTTTCAACGAGAACTGTTTGGTTTGATCAATTCATGTTGTTGAATCAGAAATGATTTTGTTGGTTTTAGTAACCAGGCTGTTAGTGGGGTCTCTTCTTATTTTTGTATAGCTGCCATCGTTGAGTAGTTCCTGAATTTTGTTGTTATATTCTATTTTGTCCATGATGACGGTGGCATTGCCCTTATCGGCTGAGAGGATGACAATGTCATCTCTCTTTTTTAATTGAGATAATTCAAAGCGCTCATCTTTGCTGATGTTGCTAGGTGGCATCTTAGCGTTTTTGAGGGTTGCAGCGATTTCAGATCTTGCTACGTCTGCAGCGATGTGACCCAGGCCCTTGAGTGCAACGTCAACATGGGCAATGATATCATTAACTGGTATGTGTTTAGGCATGACTGCAAAGTTTAGACCTTTAGCTAAAACAGCTTTCAGACTATCAGAAATAGAACTGTTACTGCGATTAATTACGACTTTGTTGACGTCTAGCTTTTCGGTGTGGGGGTCCGATTTCTTGTTGGAAAGGTGGTTGAATTTGGAAATCAAATTGTCCTTATATTTGGTCGACATAGTGGCAGCTGAAGAGGCAGTCATATTGTCTACCTGTTCCCAATCCGATGTGGACATTGTTGCCGTCAATGATAAGTGTGATTTGTAGAGTGTCTTGTCTAACTGATCTAGTTCGGTGCGCGTAAGTCAGATTTTTTCTGAGATAAGAGCTAAGCTAGTTCTAGCTAGAATTCGTTTTGCATTAAAATAAGTTACAGCAGCAGAGGTCAGTGTAAATGCGGTTGGTATTACCTTAGAGTCACGGCATCTTTTAAGAAAGGTGGGAGACTCGATAAGCTGAGCCTTCTTATCCCGGAGTTTGTTGAAGAATCTCAAAGTTATGTGGAATCCCTCCCCGTAGAGGTGGTTCAATTTCGATTTAACCGCCTCTACGGGGAGGGATTCCACATTACTTTGAGCACTTGCCCCAACAGCCTTTAGCAGACTGTTGGGGCAAGTGCTGTTAGCGAGCACCTATGAAGGCCGACACGGCACACGAAGGGGTAGATGGCGATGTTTACACGCCGCACCAGGTACTCATTTGAGGCTGAGTCGACCTAGGTGAGACCCATGACCGATTCAGATAATCGTCACTGGTGTTCGCCGTGAGCGGGAATTGAAACCGGGTAGCCCGGCTTGTAGCGCAGCGCTCTAATCGCTACTACACTACCGCTCCTCCACGTGTAACACGTGTTGACACACTCACTGTCATCTAAACGTTAATGTCCATCGGCCCAATTCACGCAGAGAGTGTGTTCATTTGATGGGCGCGTCACGTGGGTCGTGTTTAACAATCTTCGGGCGCGTGCAGCGTGGAACGAGTTAACCTGTATTTGTATGTGGTAGGAGTACATGTGTTAATGCGGGAAGACGGCAGGGTGGGTGGCGAGGCCTGGAGTTTGTGAAACCACGCTCTGTATAAACACGATATACTCTACACACCTATACATTCATTGTTCTAAACAAAAATACTTCGTACAAAAAACTATAATGATGATGATGGTCATGTGAAACAAATATATATTAGTCAGAGTAAGTAACCGAGGGCGGAGGGAGGGGCTGCCAATAGGAGGCTGGTGAACTTTAGATTGAAAACTAATTTCTTTAAAACTGATTTGTGTGTGTTTAGTTTGTTGTCCTACCCCTGCATCCTCCGATTATCATCCTCCCCCCCCCCAGGAGGATGAAGAGAGAGGACTCGCTCACAGGACTCCAGGAGGATGGAACACTCACTCCCAGGAGGATGGAGGACTTGAGGATGGAGGATGGAGGACTCACCAGCGATGGTGAACGTGAGCAAGGAGTTTTTGCAGTAGCAAATCCCTCTCCTGCGATGACGCCAGGACCCCAGGATGCGCTCTGGCTGCTTGGGGTGGCGGTCCTGCTCGCACGCGTTCACCTCGGCGTGCTTCGGCAGAGTCATGGTGGAGAAAGCCCTGCGAGGCGTGAAAGAAAGAAAGAAAATTAAAAAAAAACCCACCGAGGGTTCTCGGATCGGACGAAATGAGAACCGAGTGGAGATCCGTGCCTGGTTTTGTTCCGCGCCAACCACCACCGAGTCGCCAGTGCGAGTCATCGGCGACGTCGGTGGAACATCCCTGGCTCGCTGTGGCTGGCGGGGGGGGGGCGGGGAGGGGGGGCGGGGGGGCGGGGCGGGTGTATTGTCGTTCGTAATCGTGCGCCAGCAAACACGTCTCTGTGACAGGCGCACACAAAGCGTCACCGTGGCTCGTGAGGTTGCAGTCTAAGTAACCCGCCGCCCCGCCGTCTCCCCCCCCTCCCCTCCTTCTTTGTGTGAGTTCTAAAGCTCGGAGAGGTCACGCAAGGCCACTATCCTGAACCCATCATCAGCAAGCGGCCCCACTCCTAAACCCCATGCGTTCCGATGCGGCCAGCCCCGTGAGTGGTGGTGGTGGTGGTGAGATCATCCCTGTGAGTGGTGGTGGTGGTGAGATCATCCCTGTGAGTGGTGGTGGTGGTGAGATCAGCCCCGTGAGTGGTGGTGGTGAGATCAGCCCCGTGAGTGGTCGTGGTGAGATCATCCCTGTGAGTGGTGGTGGTGAGATCAGCCCCGTGAGTGGTGGTGGTGGTGGTGAGATCAGCCCTGTGAGTGGTGGTGGTGAGATCAGCCCTGTGAGTGGTGGTGGTGAGATCAGCCCTGTGAGCGGTGGTGATGGTGGTGAGATCATCGCACGCTCTCTGCGTGCAGAGTAGAGGAGGGCCAACCTCCCGCATGCACTCCGTCAAAATAATATGAATGATGACAATGATCATGATTTTAGGTTTTAACACTGCCCCGCTGAGACAATGAACGGTTCGAAATCTGTCCAGAGTTTGCTTGTACTGATTAAATGCCTGCTGATTACATGCACTCCCAGAGGTGAGATGTTAACTACCTCGCCTGGTGTACAGGAGCTCGTGGGTTCGATCCCGACCCTGATGCTTGCTCATATTTAGAGTTTGCACGTCTCTCTCTCCCCCCGTGGTCGCGTGGACTTTTCTCCGTGACCTCCGGGTTTTCCCTTCCACGTTTAGAATCAACATCACGCGTTTAGAGTATTTGACTGCCGTAAATTTGCACACGATGATAAGCAAATTCCTTGAGCTATCATTTGTGATATCCAGGTCGCTTCCGACGAACGAGCTACAGAGCTCAGTGGGCCCTTACCTGGCAAATATTTTTTTTTATTTTCGTTTTAGGGCACGTGCGGTGGGTGGGTTGCGTAAAAAAAAAGAATACTTTTATCTTTTATGTGGTGGGATAAAAGTGGGAAGCAGTGATATTGTCCGCTTGTCTATATGACGCGCCTCATATGGAGCCGTGATCTCGCCACGTGGAACTTCTCAATCTGTGTCGAGATCGGTTCCGCGATCCAACGGCACTTTTCATAGTCGCTAACTCCTGCTAATGGTAACATACTCAATAATCATCGGTAACTTTATCAAGAGTTTCAACAATCAGCTGATATGGCAAGTCACGAACCTCTCTCAAGATCACACTTTTCATAGCCGCGTCCTCTTGCTAATGGTAATCTACTCAATAATCATCAGTAACTCGATCGCGAGCGCCAACTATCAGCTGATACGATGAACGCTGTGCTCTAGAAGTTGTGGAGAAGGCGGAGAGAGAGAGAGCGTGAATGTTAGGAGAGGCGAGGAGACTGCATCTTCCATCAACTGTGTCACCTGTGTCTCTATCATCACCTGTATCACCTGTGTCTCTCACATCACCCGTGTCACCTGTGTCTCTATCATCACGTGTCTCTCTCATCGCCTGTCTCTCTCATCACCTCTTTCTCTAACATCACCTGCGCCACCTGCGTCTCTCACATCACCCGTGTCCCCTGTATCTCTCTCATCACCTGTATCACCTGTGTCTCTCACATCACCCGTGTCACCTGTATCTCTCTCATCACCTGTATCACCTGTGTCTCTCACATCACCCGTGTCACCTGTATCTCTATCATCACGTGTCTCTCTCATCGCCTGTCTCTCTCATCACCTCTTTCTCTCACATCACCTGCGCAACCTGCGTCTGTCACATCACCCGTGTCACCTGTATCTCTCTCATCACCTGTATCACCTGTATCTCTCTCATCACCTGTATCACCTGTGTCTCTCTCATCACCTGTATCACCTGCATCTCTCTCATCACCTGTATCACCTGTATCTCTCTCATCACCTGTATCACCTGTGTCTCTCACATCACCTGTGTCACTTGCTGCGAGAAGACGTCGCGCCGCTCGAAGAAGAGTCCAGACTCCCGGGTGCCGCGTGAAGGGACTGCGATCTCTCGCCCTGCCGCCCGCCGTGTCTCCCTCGGACTCCCCGGGCTGGGCTTCTTGAGGGACCCCCCCACCACCACTCTACCCCAAAAGGGCTGCTCCCTACCCCCACCCACCCTTCCCGTGGGGGTGGGCGCGCTCATTCCTCCAGATGGGGTGGGGGGAAATGTCGGGGTTGGCAGCGAAGACTCCAATAGCTTGTTAGTCTGTGGTGCCTGTAGGAGGGTGATCTAAGACAAGACTCCCTTACCTTGTTAGTCTGTGGTGCCTGTAGGAGGGTGATCTAAGACAAGACTCCCTTACCTTGTTAGTTTGTGATACCTGTAGAAGGGGATCTAAGGTAAGGACTCCCTTACCTTGTTAGTCTGTGATGCCTCTAGGAGGGGATCTAAGATTAGGCTTCAATACCTTGTTAAAACCATACTATATATATTTTTAATGTTACCAGGTAAGGCACACTGAGCTACACACCTCTTTTTCAGAATCGACCTGGCCACACGTGATAGCTCAGCGAAGTGGCTTATCGCGTGTACATTTATAGCAGCCAAATGCTTTAATCACATGTTGATTCTAAATGTGAAGGGAAAATAGGAGGACCCGGGGAGAGAGAGACACACAAACTAAAAATATACAGCAGCAGGCGTCAGGGTCGAGATCGAACTTATTAACCTCCTGTATACCAGGCGAGGTAGTTAACATCTCCTAGCCACCGTGATGATGATGAGAGAGAGAGAGAGACGCAATCTCAAAATATACAGTAGCAGGCGTCAGGGTCGGGATCGAACCCACGACCTCCTGTATACGAGGCGAGGTAGTCGACATCTCCTAGCCACCGTGATGATGATGAAAGAGAGAGAGACACAAACTCCAAGTATACAGCTGGCGTCAGGGTCTGGATCAAACCCACGAACCTCCTGTACACCAGGCGAGGTAGTTAACATCTCATAGCCACCGTGATGATGATGAGAGAGAGAGAGACACGCAAACTCAATATATACAGCAGCAGGCGTCAGGGTCGGGATCGATCCCACGACCTCCTGCATACCAGGCGAGGGAGTCAACATCTCCTAGCCACCGTGGCACCCCTCTTCTGAAGTCCCCATTGCAATTTGTTGAACTTGAGAGGAAGGTCAACGGGGGTTGTCCAAACAACAATCCTCTGGCAGTAGAGGGGGTGGGGTTTAACCCGTGTATGTTCTCTCACTTCGGCCAAGTTGTGTGTGTTTGTGGGGAGGGGAGGGGGGGGTGATTTAATTGTCGGTGAAATTGAAAGTTGAATGGAGAGTATATTCTTAGCTCTTTCGGTAAAGTCACGTTGAAGGGAAACAATAAAATAATAAAATATATATAAAACAATAAAAATTCTCACGACGTTTCGACCATAACGCAAACGGTCATCATCAGGTGTGAAAAAAACCAACGGCTAGAAACACCTGATGATGACCGTTTGTGTTATGGTCGAAACGTCGTGAGAATTTTTATTGTTTTATATATATTTTATTGTTTCCCTTCAACGTGACTTTACCGAAAGAGCTAAGAATATGAATTACTGCAGTCACGAAAGATTTAAATCAAAATGTGAATGGAGAGTATTAGCTTGAAGATGCAGTCCATAGGTGGGGAGAACGTATCAACATTTGCGTTCAGCAGCAGTCCAACAGATAGCACACACACACACAAAGTAAGCGGGATTCGTGTCAGTGGTCATTCTGACAAAAAAAAAACAACGATATTCTTTGGGTCTTTCGGTAAAGTCACCTAGATAGGTTCGAAGAAAATAACAAACAAAAAACTACGACGTTTCGATCACAACACGATGACAATCGCTTGTGTTGTGATCTAAGCGTCATAGTTTTTTTTATTTTTTTTTATTTTCTTTGAACCTATCTACATGACTTTACCGAAAGACCCAAAGACTAGGAATCCCTGCAGTCACGAAAGCTTTAAGTCAAGATAAAAGAACGATATTTTGAGATAATTATCACAATCATCTTTATCTGAATTCTCGTTGGCGGTGAGAGGTGATGGGAGTTCCACACACTCGAGTTGTGACTCAATGTCCCGCAGGTAGGGAGGGTGGGGGAGAGACATTGGCCTGGGAAATGGGGATGATGGTTCGTCGGTGATGTTTGTGACTCCTCAATCTTTAATTCTCGTCCGAGGATCAGAGGCATTGTCACGCAGCCTGGGTTGGGAGTGAGCTGTCAGGTGAATGAGGCGTTTAACACCGCAGCGGGGTTGTCACCACAACATTTTTTTATCCATAATATAGCTTTGTTTTTTTGGGTTAGATCGCGTAAATATGAATGTGAGTTTACTTTAAGGGACATCCGTGTGCTGAAGTAGTAACTAATTGGCACGTTTTTTTTTTATATACGTGACAAACATTACTAAGTGGCTGCGTCGGATCGTGGCGGGTGTAACGACACACAAGATCAAAGGGCTCGCATGATGCACATGCATAATGTACGTTGACTCATTAATCTCCCCCCCCCCCCCCACACACACTTTGCGCAAGAGCTCAGAAGCGTGGTCACCACATCTACGCCTCGATATAAGGAACGAAACGGGTGGACCTCTCCACAAATCTGGCTGTCGCCTGATGAAGCTGTTTGTAATTACTGGCGAAACGTCGTGCTCAGATTGTAAATGTTGTGGCTTGGCTCTCCAGCACACCGTTTGTGCTGTACTAGTGACGAATTGGCCACGCTCTGTTTACGTGACAGCCCTCACTAGTTGGCTGTGTCGGGTGGTGGCGGGTTTTAACGACACATTTATATATTTACGCGATCTAACCCAAAAAAACCCCTCTATTATAAACACATTCATATTGACGTAATCTAACCCCCCCCCCCCCCAAAAAAAAATCCCTGCATTATATTTAACTTATATCCAGAGGCTACACCAAACCTCTGAATTATATTTCGAAAGGAGGGTATAGTGTCTTCTGGCTCCGTGACGATCAAGAAAATTCCGTTCTGAATAATACAATCATCTTTACGCTTCGAACACTGGGTCCTCCAACGGCCATGAATGTTTCTCTGCTTTACATTGGAGTTCTTGTGCTGGGGAAGAGGTCGCACGTGGCGTGTACAACGACTCGAAGAGAATGAAGCGGAGATCAACCCTTTGGTGGACACGGTCGCCCTGGGGAAAGTAATAGGGCGGCTCGCGTAGGTTTATAAACTCATGTGGAAATGTAATATCTTAGCTTGGTGAGAAAGGGAAAACGTCCACTCTGTTCGATCAAATGGCTTTTCTCCGACAAGGGTGGCTGCGTCGTCGTGCGCTGATTCGAGATGAGTTTTTTTTTTTGAGCCCGGGAGATTTGCGTCGACGGGGCGATGTCTCGTTCCCTTATGAACCCCGTTTGAGAAAGCTGTGTGAAATTAGCAGGTAAGGGGGGTTCCTGCCTCAGCGAGGGAACTTGAGAAATATTGTTTTTTTTATATATATAAATATAGTGAGAGCGTTTCAAAAGAACCCATTGTCTTTATGGCTCTAGGCACTGCAGATCTTACGGACAAATCAAGGATTCACAGAGCCCAGCAAATCACCCACGGGATCACAGGGGCTGAATCCGTGAGTTTCGACAGCAATATTTAACAGCGGTAATAACGATCGACGCAAACAAACTTGCTTACCCAACGGTCTTGCACTGCTTCTTGGAACCTACAGGTTGCACGATGAGTATTAATCACTCGCACAATCACAAAGGCGCCAAGACTCCAGCCCGCGTTATGTAAGAGTCACGAGGGGGACACTTCTTTGTGCGGATAATTGCAGTGTACTTGAACACGGAGACAAAGTAAATGATTTGTTGTACAATTTATATTAAAATGTGCTGGCAAATGTTTGACCATTTTCCTTGTGAATTGCCATTTAATTGAAGGAGAGTGGCGTTTTGTTTTTGGTAATCAGTGTCCCTGCGATTAGAATACCTTTGATTGCGGCACGTCCGTCATACGCAATGCAGGATTATGGCTGTTGAGATGAGCGCTTTGAATGAAACCACACGATAATATCCCAATCACTCCGTTAAGACGAAGGGTAAAGTGCGCGTAGCGGGTCGACTCAATAGACACCCTCGTGCATTTTCAGCAAACATTCACCTGGGTTCGAGTCCCCACCCGGGTGTTCTTGGTAGAGTTTTGTAAACGTGATTCCAAAAGGAAGAACCGCCCCCCCCCCCCGATATTAATAATGATAATCGATAAAGTAATGTTAATCGGGGTGGGAAAAATAAGTACTAGTGTGTGGTAGGTGGTCAAGGTACGTTCTGGAGAAAGCCCGACTCCCAGCACAGGAATGTGGAATGTCCGCCAGGATGCCAAAGGAGATGAGGGCCACTGCGTCGTTCATTTAAGCACAGAAAAGCTTTTTGTTGAATAAAAAAATATATACACAAAAACCAAGCGTAAAACATTTTAAATCTCGAGCCACGTCATTTGCAAAGCAGGATAAGGGCGCATTATGTGTGCAGTTGTGATGAATTATAATTACATTTCATGAGAAAATAACGTCCTTAATTAACATTTTCAGCACTTTGTTAATCCACTGCTGGATGAATCCCTAGCCACTGCTGTATCGGTTACGGGAGCTGTTTGACCATACTTCACCACTTTAGGTCAGTTTGGGTTTGTGCAGGTTGGGAAGGATGGGTCCAGGGCTGGTTGAGATATCGCTCACCGCTGACATTGGGCAGGTCAGGGAATCAAACACGGGTCACCGGGTCCACAGAGCAGTGAGGTAACAACTGCGTCACTACTCCTCCGCATGAATACCCCTCTGAACACGTGGTCTCTTTCGGTGCATTAAAGTTCATTTAAGAACTCTGTCATCTATTGGGCCACACACAGACACGAGAAGACTACCTGCTAAGTAAAGGAATCCAGATCTCGCCCATCAGGTGCCCCATATCAGAATATTTATTTGTACAGTGAGGGAAAAAAGTATTTGATCCCCTGCTGATTTTGTACGTTTGCCCACTGACAAAGAAATGATCAGTCTATCATTTTAATGGTAGGTTTATTTGAACAGTGAGAAACAGAACAACAACAAAAAAAACAGAAAAACGCATGTCTAAAATGTTATAAAATGATTTGCATTTTAATGAGGGAAATAAGTATTTGACCCCCTCTCAATCAGAAAGATTTCTGGCTCCCAGGTGTCTTATATACAGGTAACGAGCTGAGATTAGGAGCACACTCTTGAAGGGAGTGCTCCTAATCTCAGCTTGTTACATGTATAAAAGACACCTGTCCACAGAAGCAATCAATCAATCAGATTCCAAACTCTCCACCATGGCCAAGACCAAAGAGGCTCTCCAAGGATGTCAGGGACAAGATTGTAGACCTACACAAGGCTGGAATGGGCTACACGACAATTTCCAAGCAGCTTGGTGAGAAGGTGACAATAGTTGGTGCGATTATTCGCAAATGGAGGAAACACAAAAGAACTGTCAATCTCCCTCGGCCTGGGGTTCCATGCAAGATCTCACCTCGTGGAGTTGCAATGATCATGAGAACGGTGAGGAATCAGCCCAGAACTACACGGGAGGATCTTGTCAATGATCTCAAGGCAGCTGGGACCATAGTCACCAAGAAAACAAATGGTAACACACTACGCCGTGAAGGACTGAAATCCTGCAGCGCCAGCAAGGTCCCCCTGCTCAAGAAAGCACATATACATGCCCGTCTGAAGTTTGCCAATGAACATCTGAATGATTCAGAGGACAACTGGGTGAAAATGTTGTGGTCAGATGAGACCAAAATAGAGCTCTTTGGCATCAACTCAACTCGCCGTGTTTGGAGGAGGAGGAATGCTGCCTATGACCCCAAGAACACCATCCCCACCGTCAAACATGGAGGTGGAAACATTATGCTTTGGGGGTGTTTTTCTGCTAAGGGGACAGGACAACTTCACTGCATCAAAGGGACGATGGACGGGGCCATGTACCGTCAAATATTGGGTGAGAACCTCCTTCCCTCAGCCAGGGCATTGAAAATGGGTCGTGAATGGGTATTCCAGCATGACAATGACCCAAAACACACGGCCAAGGCAACAAAGGAGTGGCTCAAGAAGAAGCACATTAAGGTCCTGGAGTGGCCTAGCCAGTCTCCAGACCTTAATCCCATAGAAAATCTGTGGAGGGAGCTGAACGTTCGAGTTGCCAAACGTCAGCCTCGAACCCTTAATGACTTGGAGAAGATCTACAAAGAGGAGTGGGACAAAATCTCTCCTGAGATGTGTGCAAACCTGGTGGCCAACTACAAGAAACGTCTGACCTCTGTGATTGCCAACAAGGGTTTTGCCACCAAGTACTAAGTGATGTTTTGCAGAGGGGTCAAATACTTATTTCCCTCATTAAAATGCAAATCAATTCATAACACTATTTGATATGCGTTTTCCTAGATTTTTTTTGTTGTTATTCTGTCTCTCACTGTTCAAATAAACTACCATTAAAATTATAGACTGATCATTTCTTTGTCAGTGGGCAAACGTACAAAATCAGCAGGGGATCAAATACTTTTTCCCTCACTGTACCAGAGGAATTCAATGAGCTGTCCATTAGTACAACAACACGACAGGATTCATATTCTTGGTTCTTTCGGTAAAGTCACGTAGAAGGGAAACAATAAAATAATAAAAATGTAAAACAATATTTTGGAGTTTGAACGTTCTCCCCATGGTCGCGTAGATTTTTCTCCTGGTCCTTCGTTTTTTCCCTCCACATTCAAACTCCAAATATACAGCTTCACACGGAGGCTTTTGCGGCCAATATCATCCATACTAGAGGTATTTTTGGGTTAGATCACGTAAAGATAAATGTGAGTTTACTTTACAATACACCGGTGTGCTGAACTAGTAATTGGCATGTTTTGTTTACGTGGCAAAACCTTGGTGATTGGCTGTGTCGGTTGGTAGCGGGTTTAACAACACATCTATATTTACGCGATTTAACCCCCCCCCACACCCACAAAAAAAAAACACATCCATTATGGGTCCAAATATACAGCAGGCGTCAGCGTCGGGACCGAACCCGCGACCTCTTGCATACCAGGCGAGGGCGACAACATCTCTCCACACCGCGAGGACAACCCGCGCTAGCAAGGGGGCCATTCATTTAGTCGGTACACAAAACATCTGTCAACACTTGATCCATCGCCCCTATAGAACGGCCGATATTTAATCCACGCAGAAACGTTCAAGGATTAATCATATTAACGTGTTTACGCAAACAGATGGTCGGACTATCTAACTAATCTAACTAATTTGAAGGCCAATGTAGGCAATAATCGAGGCTTCAGCCCCCCCCCCCCGTTTCCTATGCGTAAGTACATTGTCAGTAGACCCCCCCCCCCCCATACGCAGGCGTACGCATTCGTACTCATTGCTTCTTTGGGTAAAGTCACGTAGGTAGATTGCCTGCGTTGCGATCGAAACGTCGTGCTCTATTCTTTTTTCTACCTACGTGACTTTACCGAAAGAACCAAAAAAAGTATGGAATTCCTGCAGTCACGTAAAGCTTCAAATCAAGATCGTACGCATTTGGGTCACCCCGTCCCTCTCCCCCCTCCATGCGTACGTACTAAATAGATGCCCCCCAACCCCCCCCCCCCCCCCCCCCCCAACTGCATGAGCGCGCCTCGGTTGGAGCGAAGCGAGCGTTGCGCGCGCGTGTTGCCTGGCTCTCTGACAAGGAGAGCAAAGCTCGCTGGGACTCACACGCGCGCGCTGGTCACAGAATGTACGCGGGTGGCGTTGCGTAACGGGGACGAACGCCGTCGGTATGCGCGCGCCAAAAGGCGATGACCATCGGTGGAAATTTTGCCGTAATTCGCATTGTATAACGGGGGGAATAAAAACAAATGAGCGTTCGGTGTACGTAAAAAAAAAAGTTAATTATTTGCCTGCTTTCTGCTGACACACGCGCTCGTCACGAAGGAGGATGCGTCCTGCGGCGGCCCAGGGCTGGTTATGCAAGCGTTTTAAGAGTGGACATGCATCACTCCTTGCAACAAAGGGAGCACAACTAACGAGTAGTTACGCTTCCCCAAGGCGTCGTGACATCAATGCAGCGCATTCACTCGTCTCCGGCGACGCAACGTTAGCGAGGGTGCACAAGAGGCGTTACGATGTGACTCGTCACGTACGCGTAAACCATAATTGTTTCGTGAACCCGTGCTAAAACTACCATCACATTAAATAAAAAAATGTGATGTTAATGTAAACACTTAAAAAAAGACTGTGATGCTGCTGCCATTGCAGCGCTCTCCGATTGCATTTTCGGGCAGCACACTGTGCGTGGTTATTCAGACACGATGTCCGACGTTTCGCTCCATCGTGCTCGGAGACCTTCTTCAGGAACTGAATCGTTTCCTTTATATAACTGGTCAACAAAACAATGATTGAAAATTAAGAATATGTTGTACCCTTTCTGCCAATAAAACAGGATGTGTTAAGATGTTCAAACACCAAATAGGATCCTTTTGCAAGGAATCACGAAGTCTGCATTAACCACACGCAGTATCTGTGGTGAACATGCAAATAAAAAACAATCCTCTGATAATATCTATGGCATTGTCTTTGAAACTGATTGGCCTACACCAGAGACGGCCTTCTTTATGGCCTCGTCTCACCAGTGTCAGACCAAAGAACGCCAAACAGTGAACAGGAGAAAGACAATTCAAGGAGCAGCGTCATTGCCAGTACCAAAATATAATAATATGGGGTTTTTCCATTTTTTTCTGGCAAAAATACTGAAACCTTTTACAAGGATTCATGTCTGCATTAACCACAATACTTGCAGTCAAGATGCAAACAAAAAACAAACTCTGATAATATGATGCATTGTCCTTGAAACTGATTGGTCCACACCAGAGACAGCTTTCTTTTGAGCCTCGTCTCAATTGGTGCTTGACCAGATGACGCCAAAAGGCTCAAAATAAAGCTGTCTCTGGTGTGGACCAATCAGTTTCAAGGACAATGGATATAGTATCAGAGTGTGTTTTTTGTTTGCATTTTGACTGCAGGTATTGTGGTTAATGCAGAAATGAATCCTTGTAAAAAGGTTTCAGTTTTGTTGCCAGTAAAAAAGGGGAAAACCCTATTATTATAAGTATCAGCGTATTTATAGTTCGGGATAAGCAGCTATATCATTAAACCTTTTTCTACTACATACCAAGTAGGTATCTACTTGGTTTTGAACATCTTAATACCTGCTTTATTGCCAGAAAGGGTAAAACCTATTATTTTTCACCCTTTAAAGCTGGCAAAAAGGTCCCATGATAAATCAATCATTTGAAAACGAAGCAATCGTTGTTTGCACGTACAAGGCGTCCGTTGTGCACGATGGTAATGTGGTGTCGCCAGACAGCAGTTAAAGATCTGCAGTCGTAGCCGACGGTTTGGCAAATGTAACTACGCATTACTTCTTTGTGCTCCCCTTGTGCGGGGAGTGATGCATGGCCACTCTAAAAAAAAACCACTCACACATAACAAGCCCCGGGCCTGGTGCAACAACGTCCCGCTTGCAACTATCCCTGCGCTCGTGTGATCAATCGAAGAATCAGGAATGGCATATACACTGCCGAGGCAGCTCGCGACGGCACGTGTGCGCGAAACGTCGGACATCGTAGGCCGAGCATCATGCGGCACGATCTGAGAATGCATCGGAGGAAAAAACGCGAGAGAGTTCCAACAACGCCGCCGTGTGGCGCACCGATTTAATAACAACAAAGGGGCAAATACGCAATAAGGTAAACATTTTCCCTTGCCCTTTTATTCAAAACCAACTCCGGCACATTCGTTCGTTTGGTTCCTGTTGTGAGCACAGCATACATAAAGCAATCACAACTTCGCGGCAATCTTTGGAACCCCTGCGTGCATTTCAATCGATTGGGAGACAACCACCACCACCACCACCACCACCGCCCCAGCAGCCTAGTTGCACAGCGCAGCCATCCTTCAAGTTGTGTGTGCATTCAGTGGAGTTTGTACCGTGCCCGATATATTTCAAGTGTCAACTTTATTTAGTTTAACCAGGTACGTATGTACGCATGTTGAACTTATTTCGCGCCGTACGTAGCGGGGGAAGGGCAACAAACTCAACACGCGAAACGCATTTCTCAAGAAATGAGTTTTATCTCTAGATGTAGGTGAGTTTTTTTTTAAATCAGGTGACAACTCAAGAGACCAGGACGAGTCTCGTTTGCAAGAATGACACCGGGGCATTAGCCTGCCAGCAGGGGGCGAGGATTGCCGCCGAGTAAATATAAATGCGAACGGCCGGCAACTGCTTACATCCTTTGGTCAGGCATCGACTCCTTCCTGTGAATAAAGAGGAAAAAACGGGGGGGGGGGGGGGGGCATGGCGCGTGAAGAGGGGTGGGATAATCAAAGGAGAACCACACAAAAGGCACAGCTGCCCACCGGTATGGTAGATTAACTGTGCTGAAATTATAAAAATAATTGCATTTTATAGAGCGTCATTCATTCAATTGCATCCCACAATGTTGCAACATCAATTAGCCGGTCCCCTTATAAAGATGGTACAAAAAAAACGAAATACATAAATAACGAGAGACAGAAAAATACACGCAACATGAAAATGATCATGGCGGAGAAAATAAGTTAAATCAATAAATCCGTTTGCTCTGCATACACCATGATAATTTCATAATGGAAAGAGCCACTCATGTTCTACTGTGCGTAGTCATTGACTCCCAAGAATTGCAATCTCCGCGAGGCGTGGAGTCGAGTCACCCGGCGAGTACTTTGGGTGGAGTGCGCCGAGTGCACGCCCACGAGGTGCCGTTCTGTGTCCTCTTCACTCGCGGAGGATTTAACAGACGCACAGACGTCCCCTGAGTGGTTGCCGTACCCACGCGCGCATCATCGCAGTGGAATGTCGAGTGTAAGTAGTGCCGGGTTAAGCTAGTGCGGGGGGCCTGTAGCATATGTTATAAAGGGGCTCTAAATAAATAAATAAGCAAACATTAATATAACGACACAAATTTTTTTTTTACTTGCGCAGTAAAGTAATTGTATTTTTTTAAATTTGCTATGCAGCCAGATAATACGACAAATCGCTAACCTTAAACACCCGGTCGTTCATAAAAGTTGAAGGCGGTACAGTACTATAGTAGTAGAGCATGTGCAGAATCACTGAACCGGAATTGATAGCTTGAAAGCATTTAGCGCGGGGGCCCCTTGAAAGTGCGGGGCCCGTAGCTAATGTAGCGACTTTTGCTGCTGGGATAATCCGGCACTGGGTGTAAGTCGTGACGACTGAGGGTGGGTTCGGTGAGGTTCTGTTACTCCAGACATCGGAGGCAACACAAGGAACCATGATTTCCTATTGCGTCCCAAACGTAATGGCCAATTCCTGGACTCTCCGGGTCAGACCTGGACAGGTGTCAATGCCGGTTACACGTTTGAACGAGGGTTTTGTTCACCCTCATTCTTTGCATTTTTACTAGCCTACGTGTTAAACTAAATTTGACGATATTTTACGCCGTTTCAAAAAAAGTAATAAAAAGGCACTGCAAGGAAAACACATAATTTGTTATTCTTGGTTCTTTCGGTAAAGTCACGTAGAAGGGAAACAATAAAATACAAAAATATATAAAAAATATATTTTTATAATTTTCTATTTATTTTATTATTTCATTGTTTCCCTTCTACGTGACTTTACCGAAAGAACCAAGAATATGAATCCCTGCAGTCACGAAAGCTTTAAATCAAAAAATAATTTGCCGTATTATTTGAGCGAGAATAAAACCGCTTTATCTCATTAAATGTGGAAGAAGCAGCGACGATTTGAGGCAACCGTTCTCTCATCCTCTACACTGCTGTTACATTTTTGAATTCGTGAAAAATATTTATATAGGACCCTGTGCCCCCCCCCCCCCCTTCTGTGCACTATCGACGTTTTTGTCTTTTGTTGTTGCTGCTGCTGCTGCTGCTGCTCGCGAGGCACCACGGATCTCCTCCCGTGTAAAACAGCCGGCCGACCGGCTACACGGGACCATCATCATCATCCTCGTAAGCAATCAACCACAACTCAAACTCCACTCTACTGCTCACGAGTTGGTCGGTGCGACCCGCGTCATCTGCCATCCTTCGCGGCGACCCCGAAATCTCCACCCGCGCTGCCCGCCGTGCGCCGTACCTGTGCGGCGCTTGCCCTCTCCTCTGCGGTGATGAGCTGCTTGTCAAGCCGCTCCAAGCGGGGCAGCGTGGTCAGCACGAACGCGCGGTACATTCCGCCGGCCTCATCGTCCTCCTCCTCTGCCGCTGCCTCCTCCTCCCCCTCGCCGTTACCAAATCCGTCGGAGCATCGATTTTCTGCACGAGATTGGAACGCCGCTGTGAGAGTGGTACGGCGGCCGCGCGGTCGCCTGGGCGACAGTGGTTTGCGGATGTAGGTGCAGGTGATCAAGGGTTGACGATGAAGATTTGAACTACGAAACTATTTTTTTTTAATTTTACCAGGTAAGGCCCATTAAGATGTATAGCTCTATTTTCGAAGCGACCTGGCCACAAATGATAGCTCCACGAAGTGGATGATTATCATGTGGACATTTATAGCAGCCAAACACTCGAAAAGCACGTTGATTCTACCGGAGAAAAATCCACGCCACCACGGGTTTTTCCCTCCACATTTAGCATCAACGTGTGTTTAGAGTATTTGGCTGCTATAAATTTCCACGTGATAAGCCACTTCGTTGAGCTATCATTTGTGGCCAGGTCGCTTTTGAAAAAAGAGCTACATCGCTCAGTGGGGCCTTTACCTGGTAAAATAAGAACAGTTTAGTTTAATAGTTTCGTTTAATGTGAAAATATAGTTGTTGCTCGACATTGGCATGAGCAACAGAAAGAAGACCGTTCAACTCTTCGTCCCAGGCAACGCACAGGAACGTGTGCGCGTGTAAGCACATGCATGATTAGGTGTACACGTGTTCGTTGCGAAACGAGGGCTCTGGATTTTTACCGGACAAAACGAGCACCCTCAGCAGAGGCAGGCATCGCAGGTTCAGCACTTCTTTCACGTCCTCCACTTTGTTTCCCCTGCACAGACGACCACACCGCCAATTGCCACCGAGTTTGTTGCGCATCGTTTCTACGTATCGAATTGCGAGCGCTGCGCCATAGTGCGTCATCTATGATGCCGCTAATTATATAGGGCAAGCATGATTTCTTTAAGCCACGGGGGCGAACCAGACTGAGAGAACAAATGAGACGGGAAAACAAACAAAAAAACTATACAAAAAAAAACTTAAAAGCGATCTTGGAATGGAATCGCGACACCCAACGATGACTATTCCTTGAATAGCGGGGTGGGTCGGGGGGAGGCATGTACGTATGTACATGTGTTGAACTTGTTTCACACCGTACATAGCCAATTCTACTAATCGGACGTGCAGGGGAAGGACAACAAACTAAACACAAAAATCAGTTCTAAAGAAATTCGTTTTCAATCTAGATTTAAAAGTGCATAGCTCCAGTGGCTTCCTAATATCGGAAGGAAGAGCGTTCCAGATGGCCGCGGAAGCGCATCTGAAAGCGCGCGATGCAGTGACCGTTTTCGTTCGATGGCGAGCCAAAAGCTGCTGCGAATGAATCATGACATCGCTTTAACAGACTGTTGGGGCAAGTGCAGTTAGCGAGTATCTACTTAAGCCGGCACGGCACACAATGGGGTGGGTGGCCAGCGCCACGCCCGGCAGCCTTTGTCTCCCCAGTGGCGATGTTTGCACACCGCACCAGGTACTCAATTGAGGCTGAGTCGACCTACTGGAGGCCCAGGACCGGCACAGATAATCGTCACTGGTGTTTGATCCTTGAGCGGGAATCGAACTCGGGTCGCCGGGTTCGTAGCGAAGTGCACTAACCGCCAGAGTACCCCTCCCCACCCACAACAAATCGTACGCACCGCAGATTGAGGTACTGCAGCGCAGCCATGCTGCTGCTGAAACCGCCGAGCGAGCTGACGCGGTTGTCCCGGAGGTGCAGCGTGGTCAACTTGTGCAGCGAGGAGAGTCCTTCGAGCCGAGTTATTTGATTAGCGGCCTGCACCACCCCCCACCGCAGGCACACAGAACGCACCGCAAATCTCAATTGGCCCTTCATCAGAGTATGCGTGTACGTACTTTGAAATTATTTTCCTCACCGTACGTTAGCCAACCGCGCCGCACGTAGCCAACCCGGGTAGAGACCATGAACCGCGCACACCCTTACACGTACACATTTATCGAGCACGAAATGTGTGCCGGGTGGAAATGCGTCACTCGTGGTACGCCTGTGGTAAGCCTGTGCGCCTGGTGGGGTGAAATGTGTGAAATATCTACACTTCTTGGAATGCACGGTATAAATACATCCTCCCAGACGGTGGGTAGGGTAGACCTGAGAAAACTAAAATGAAAAGCACTTGATGAGCTTCTTTTTGTGAAGTCATTGTGTGATTGGGCTGAATGCTGCACTGTGTTCACGTATATATGTTGAACTTTTTTCGCGCCGTACGCAGCCAACCGGAGGCGCGCGGGATGGACGACAAACTACGTATGTAGGCACTCTTTATAAGTGTACATTGTGTCGGGCGTATGTGTGCATGATTCCCTTGTGTGTGCGTGCGCGATGCGGTGTGCGTACGTGCGCGGGTGTGCGCGTATACGTACCATGTAAAGCTGCTGAAGACTGGTGAGCTGCTCCAGCCCAGCAGTGGAGGAGAGCTTGTTGCCACGGAGCTCGAGCGTGTGCAGCCAAACCAGGCGACACGCGCTCCCCAAGCCTTCCACCCGCACCAGCGCGTTACCTAGGAACACAAATTTGACGAAGATCCCCCCCCCCCGATAGCCTTAGCAGACCGTTGGGGCAAGTGCTGTTAGCGAGCACCTCCGACGGCCAGGCAGGATGCACGAGGGGGTGGGTGGCCAGCACCACGCCTGACCGCCTCTGCGTCCCCAGTGGCGATGTTTACACACCACACCAGGTACTAATTTGAGGCTGAGTCGACCTAGGTGAGGCCTAGGACTGGTTCAGATAATCTTCACTGGCCTTGCCCAGGAAATCGAGGTCCATGGGGGCGGGGGGGGGGAGGTTTGAGGCCCAGGGCAAACCCCACCGTGTGGGCCCCCCCGCCCCCCGACGCTTTCAAATTAAACCGCAAGTATTGCATCTGACGTCGTGATCTCGAAGCGCGGGGGCTCCCCAAAAGTGCGGGGCCCCCGGGGCGATCGCCCCGATTCGCCGTGTACCCTGGAGACGGCCTCTGTCACCGGGGCAAACAGTGGTGGGTGGGTGGGTGAGTGGGTGGGTGGAGAAGACGCGAGGAGACGCGGGTGGGACGCACCGGTGAGGTTGAGGGCCTGGAGCTGCGCGTGCTGCAGCCCCGTGCCGGCGCTCGCCACGCGGTTGTGGGCCAGGCTCAGCACCTGCAGGTGGGCCAGCGGCGCAGGGTGCTCCGTCGTCTCCACGACGTTGCCGTCGGCTTTCAGCGACACCTGCGCACGACGCGCGCGACGCGCAAGTACAATCGGCGCGCAGCCGCAAGCGCGCCGTGTCCCGTATGGCTCGTTGCAACGTTTATTTTACCAAGTAAGGTTCACCGAGCTACGTAGCTGTTTTTCAGAAGCGGCCTGGTCACAAATGATTGCTCAACGAGGTGGCTCATCACGTGGCAATGGATATCAGCCAAATACTCTAAAAGCGCGTTCATGCTAAATGTGCAGGGAAATTCCGGAGGAGCCGGAGAAAAATCCACACGACCACGGGGAGAACATGCAAACTCAAATTATACAGGCGTCAGGGTCGGGATCGAACCCATAACACCCTGTACACCAGGCGAGGTAGGTAAAATCTCGCCACCGTGGCGCCCAAAGTTAAATGCATGTCCACATTCTGATAGAAGTGTGGGGCAGTGTTGGCGGACTCGAACCGTTTTCCCCTGCTGGAAAACCCACGTTGATATGCAAGTGTATCACAGCTTGTAAGGGTGTTTCAGTCATTACGGAGACACAAAAAGTTACCAACAGCATTGCTTATTATCAACAACAAAGAAACTCTCCTCACTGTCAAAGCTCTTCTCAAACACACAAGTTCACTGAGGGTATGGCGAAAATTTGTCTGCAAGGATAGCGTGAGTAAATGCAACGGACTGCATGCGTATGAACATTAAAGCAGCAATCTCAATTCCTAATTTTAAAACGAAAAGACTCCAATGTGTAACAATAACTTAGAATACTGCAGTTGTACTCACAAGGTAGGACATGTTTGACAGTGGAGACAGATCAGCAATTCTGTTGGAGGAAACGTCGATATATCTTAGGTGCGGATATCCGCTGAGAATTGAGATGTTCGTCAGGGACCTGCCGGCAGACAAAGACAAAGTCTGATTAATTGTGATAGAGCTGATCTTTGCATTTAGTTTGGTGTCCTTCCTCCACCACTCCAGCACGGTTCGCTACATACAGTGTGAAAGACGTTCGACATACATACATTGGCGCAGAAGTCAGCAAACAAAGCTGACAGAATCACAGAGTTAGGACTACGCCCAAGTAAATCATCGTGTCTACGGGACTCAAAAATAGTAATTTCAACTCATAATGTGCAACAGTGTTAGCTCACACTCGAGGGGGAGAATGCCTTGGAGGCGCGAGGAACCACAGTCGAGCGGGAAAGGCGAGACGGTGCCAACTATTGGCCAAGCTCTGTGGACCCCTAGATATTCAGATATTTTTGTACCAATAAATAAGTGTTTACATGTGTGAGGAAAACGGAGCAATCCACGCATGTGATGAATCAACATTCTATCCCGTACAGACGGAACCGGTGGAGTCAACATTTATGCTGTACTGCCTTTTATTTTTACCAGGTAAGGCCCACTGAGATCTCTAGCTCTTTATCAGAGGCGAACCTGGCTATCACAAACGATAGCTCAACGAAGTGGCTCATAACACGTGGGCATTTATAGCAGCAAACAAATACTCTAAACGCCTTCTCCTGGCGTGCCGGTGTATGGCACCTCCCCGACCCCCAACGGGAAGGGCGTTTCACACGATATGCGTGACCCACCAACCCTCGCTACCTCCACAGTGCTCGATTACAGGCGTGCGCCACATCGCCACAAGGCTAGACCTTTATGCAACGATTTTAGAAATTGCTATAGCTGGGAGGGGGGCACACAGCGTTATATCTCAATCTGTTAGTTGTGGCGACTCCAAGTTGTTTGCCTGTGTCTGTGCACCCGTGATTCTATCTGGGCAGGAGCGCAAGCCTTACCGTGCTGCGGCAAGCAGACGCACGTACGCGAGCGCCAATCCGTCGCCGGTCTTGCAGAGGAGCGAGATGCACTCTTGGATGTCCGAAAGTGCCAACGGGTTATCGGGAACAACCTGGGGAAGTGGAATATTTATGTTATTTCATTTTCAGTTTCATTTATTAGCTATAACCCTGTGAGCCATGCGGCTCTTGACTCGGGTGCAACCGCAAAAAAACAAAAACATGAACAAGAAAAATCTTAAAGTGACTACACGCAACGGGAAAAATACAGGAAAAAAACAACGAACGGTGTGTATAAGGGCCCATGCAGGCAAGAGTTCTGACCTGGTGAAATACACCGACTCATTGAGATTTGAGGTATGGCACAGCACACGACAGCCAACGCTTGCGAATTAAATAAATGAATATCTTAACTCGCTTTCACTTCAATCTGTGCGCAACCGACAATACAAAATTAAAACCTTGTTGTGTGTGCACCGAGTATGAACCCCACGTATTTAAAAAATAATTTCAACAAAAAAAAAACAGTCGAGTTGAGAGCGACAGTTTGGTGGCTCCTGCGACATCGTCTCCCCCATGACGTTACCTCCTTTGGCTCCACATCTTCTTCTTGGTGCTCTTCCTCATCCCCTTGCTCCCCCTCCTTGCCTTCATCGCTCACGAAATCCTCCTCCTCCTCCTCGTCTCCGACCACGTCCTCATCTCTGTCTTCCTCTCTCTCCGCGTCGGAGTCGGACATCCTGCGAAGACGGCAGACTGCCGTCACGAAGAGCCAACAGCTGCGCTGCTGCGCTGTTGCTGTCGTCTCGAGCCAAGCGACACGCCGATGGGTGCAGGAACGTGGAGTTCACGCTCGACAAATGCGCAGAAGGTGCACGTTAAACGAAGTTTTGCTTTACAGCACAAGCTGGCTCGGGTCGCTATACCTGCATGCTTAAAAATATATATCAGTGTAAATCTGCGCATCGTAAAAACACAACCGTTGTTGGAAACAGACACTTGAAAAGTCGAAAGCTGCTGCTGCATTTCACTTGTCGAGAGCCATGGGAGAAAACACCGACACAGTGACTCGTGTCTGCCTGGGATTCATCCACAGGTTTAGATGCCCCATTGTGCCCACGCTGTGTCAAACTCGCGCCGCAGCTCACGTTGGGTGCATCAGGGCAAGGTGGGGCCACGGGATGGGTGAATGGCAGCAGTGGATTTGATGGGAACGCGGGGTTTAGAATGAAGGTTAGCGTAAGGGGTAGAGAGGACGTTATGGGTTAGGCGCAGGGGTGACGGTTCCGGTGCTAGGTTTGTAGGGAGAGAGTTAGAGAGAGCGGTAGAGAGAGAGGGGTAAGGGGATGGAACCCTGTCACATCGCTGTCCACTCGAGATGTCGCCTCGTGTCACCGGGGGCACGGTCCACTCGAGTTGTCACCTCGTGTTACCGGGGGGGTGGTCGACTCCAGGTGTCACCTCGTGTCACCGGTGACACGAGGTGACACGACATGTCACCTCGTGTCACCAGGGGGCACGGTGCGGAGACTCGCAGTCAGGACTCGGGGTGACCGCCGCTGTGTGGGCTGTCGCGGTGGTGGCTGAGCCATACACGCTGATTACACACGACTAATAATACAGTATACATCCCTCTGAAGAAGCTATCAGCACGAAGGAGCGAAACGTCGGACATCACGCTGAACAACACACCCTGTACAACACAAGAAACACATCAGAGGGCGTAGGGATCTCACGCCGGGGGGGGGGGGGGGGGGGGTGGTGTGAGGGGGAGTCGCTCTCAGGGGTCTCACTGGGGGGGGGGGAGTCGCTCTCGGGGGTCTCACTGGGGGGGGGGGGGGGGAGTTGCTCTCAGGGGTCTCACTGGGGGGGGGGGGGAGTCGCTCTCAGGGGTCTCACTGGGGGGGGGGGGGGGAGTCGCTCTCAGGGGTCTCACTGGGGGGGGGGGGGGAGTCGCTCTCGGGGGTCTCACTGGGGGGGGGGGGGGAGTCGCTCTCAGGGGTCTCACTGGGGGGGGGGGGGGAGTCGCTCTCGGGGGTCTCACTGGGGGGGGGGGGGGGAGTCGCTCTCAGGGGTCTCACTGGGGGGGGGGGGAGTGGCTCTCAGGGGTCTCACTGGGGGGGGGGGGGGGGGGAGTGGCTCTCAGGGGTCTCACTGGGGGGGGGGGGGGGAGTCGCTCTCGGGGGTCTCACTGGGGGGGGGGGGGGAGTCGCTCTCAGGGGTCTCACTGGGGGGGGGGGGGGAGTCGCTCTCGGGGGTCTCACTGGGGGGGGGGGGGGGGAGTCGCTCTCAGGGGTCTCACTGGGGGGGGGGGGGGAGTGGCTCTCAGGGGTCTCACTGGGGGGGGGGGGGGGGAGTGGCTCTCAGGGGTCTCACTGGGGGGGGGGGAGTCGCTCTCTCTCGGGGTCTCACTGGGGGGGGGGGGGGGGGAGTGGCTCTCAGGGGTCTCACTGGGGGGGGGGGAGTCGCTCTCTCTCGGGGTCTCACTGGGGGGGGGGGGGTCTCTCTCAGGGTCTCAGTGGGGGGGCCCTCTCTTACTCGGGGTCTCACTGGGGGGGGAGTCGCTCTCTCTCAGGGTCTCACTGGGGGGGGGGCGCTCTTACTCGGGGTCTCGCTTGGAGCCGCGCGTCGCGTTGCTATGGAGACACGGCCGCCCCTTCCTGGTGACGCGTCACGTGACCGCGATTTCCCCCCCCCCCCCGCCCACCGTGGAGCTCGCGGCCTTCGTGGGGACTCCGCGAAGAGGGGCGGGGGGCGAGGGGCGGGGGGTGAGGGGCGGGGGGTGAGGGGCGGGGTGCGGGGGGCGGGGGGTCACGTGTTCAGCGCAAAGCAAAACAGCGCCCTCCCATCGTCGTCACTTCCGCTTCCCGTGTACACTCCCCCGCCCGTCCAGCATCAGCGCGACGACAGCTCGCTCGTGTCCACCTCCCTCGTGTCCACCTCCCTCGTGTCCACCTCCCTCGTGTCCACCTCGCGTACCCCCCCCCCTCGCGTGTCCACCCCGCGTGTCCACCTCACGTGTCCACCTCCATCCCGTGCCCCCTCCCCGCCGCGTGTCCACCTCCTCGTGTCCACCCCCATCCCGTGTGTCCATCCCCCCCCCCGGTGTCCATCCCCCTGCTGGTGTCCACCCCACGTACCCCCCCTCCCACACCTTACCCCCCACCACACCTTACCCCCCACCACACCTTACCCCCCCCCCCACCTTATCCCCCCCCCCCACCTTATCCCCCCCCCACCTTACCCCCCCCCCCACCTTACCCCCCCACCTTACCCCCCCCCACCTTATCCCCCCCCCACCGCCCCGCCATGGTGAACTGCGCAGTGCGCGGCTGCCGGAGCCGCTCGGCGCGAGACAAGCACGTCTCGTTCTTCCGCATCCCGTGCGTCATCCACCACCATGACGACAAGACGCGGCAGCTGTCCGCGCAGCGCCGCGCCGCCTGGCTCCGTCGCCTGCGACGCGGCGGCGGCGGTGACGACGCGCCGAGCGATGGACCTGGAGCAGGAGGGGGAGCGCGCGTGTGCGGCGCGCACTTCATGCACGGCACGTGACTCGCGCACGTCACCGGTTGCCCGGGAAGACCACGTGACTCGCGGACGTCACGGGCAGCCCAGGAAGACCACGTGGCACGCGCACAAGCCATGCGTGCTTTACCTCGGGTGTCGTCGAGTTGTTGATTCCCCGCGGCTGGTCTAGCCTCGGTAGGAATGTTGCGCCTGCGTTCCTACGGAAGGCAATTCTCAGCGTTGACGAACTATTTGGCATCTTCTTTCCCGCAGGCCTGCGAAGAGCCAAGAGTTTCGGTTGCGAGTGGTTGAACCATTTGATTGCTTCGTTTTCCAGAGAGGTTCAGATGAATAGACCTTCTCCCAGCCCGTCATCTAGTAATGTGGACAGCAACACAAATGTATTTCCAGCTGCTGAAAGCGTTTTCGACAAATAACGATTGCGCGTTTCCTCCCTCGTGTCTAGGCAAGCCGTCGGCGCTGTTCGAAGTGGCGCATCCGGACTGGGCCCCGTCCCTCGCGCTGGGGAGTGAAAAGCGCGCCGGTGACCCGGAGCGCGGCCGCGCGCGGCATGCGGCCTCCGCTCGGCAAGCGAACGACGGTGCCGGCGCCGGCGCGGGTCGCGGCCAGCGCGAACCGAGCGGTGAAGCCGGTGAGCCACGGAGCCTCGGTGCCATGCACGGCCACGCCCCGCTACCCGGCGGGCACCGCCCGTGCCGAGCGTCCCGCCGCACGGGGGAGGGAGCGGAGGGGGAGGAGATCGAGATGAGAGGGGAGAAGTATGAGAGTGCGTGCAGGGGAGAGAGGTAGGAGAGTGGAGAAAAGTAGAGTGAAGTGAGAGGGAAGAGGTTGGAGAGTCTGGAGGAGAGGTGGAGAGTATGTGGTGGTGGGGAGGGGAGTGAGAGGGGTGAGGTGAGAGACCGTGGAAGAGAGTAGGCCCACTGAGCAGTATAGCTCTTTTTCAGAAGCGACCTGGCCACAATAGCTCAACGAACTAGCTTATCAATTGGAAATGTATAGGTGCTAAATACTCGTAAATACCTGTTTCTAAATGTGGAGGGAAAAACCGCAGGACACGGAGAAAAATCCACGCAACAAACTCAAAAATATACAGACGTCGGGGCAAGGATCGAACCCAGGACGTCCTGTATACCAGGCAAAGTCGTTAACAGACGGATCGCAACCCCATCTCCTTTGTTATGCCTTCCCCTTGTGCCAGTCACAAAAAAACCTTCTGAATTGCCAAGTTGAATTTGGGGTGAAATTATGATGACCGTAGGGGCATAGTCTTTATTTGTGTCAAAGTCCAACTTGGATGAAATGCGCTCTGGAAGAGGGAATTACGCTGGGAGTGCCTTACCCTGGCAGATTCGTGAAACTGCATCAGGCGCGGTCGCAAATTTCGGGCGTCTGTAGAGCAAGTGACAGACATATATGCCCTGCGGGTGCTTAGCTCGGAGAAATAATAAAGCCGAAGTATGATTCACGTTAACTTGTGCTGGATAATTAGTAACTGGTATGTTTTCATTTTAAAAAACGACTGACAGAGATAAGATACTGCCAATTGAAATTAATTGCTACAGAAGGATATTGCATCTAAGCTTGACCCAAAGAGTGGCCAACGTAGAAATAAGAAAATGGTTGCAGGTCGAAGAAGACAACCTGATGATGCAGGCAGTGATGAGAAGGAAACTGGCACTATTTGGACACGTATGTAGAATGGACAAGAACAGGAAAATTCAATATGCGTTATTCGGGAAAACTGGAAGGAACCGGAGAGGAAGACTTAACAGAGAATGGCTTGACATAAGAGATTGCTGCTAGAAAGATGTGGCACTACTTAAGTAAATTGATACAAGACAGAGGAAAGTGGAAACAAAGGACAAAATGAGCAGTGGACCCCTACGGGCTATCTGCCCATGGATCGTGATGATGATTATGTTTTCATTACGAAATGCGACGTTAAGTCACATCTGTAACGTTTGCTTTACAGATATGAATTTTGCGGCTTACAGCCGGCATACAGTCCTGCAAAGTCAAGTGGACAGAACACGACCCAGGAGTCGGACGATTGTGAAAATTGAAACCTCTTGCCCTGGTAAGAGTCTCTGCCTGGCATTGCCGAGCAGGCTAAAATGTCTCCTGACCAAAGCCGATAACAGCTCTTGACCGCGTGGTCTCCGTCTAAACAGGTGCGACTGCAGCTTCCGAAGACCAATTCAGCGGACTGCAAGGGGGTGTGGTTAACTGTGACACGTGGACACTGGCGGTTGTGAAAAACGAAAGAGGTTGTGCAGGTGTGATTTCTTGCCAATGCGGTAAACTGTGATAATGATTAGCTTGCGATAGAGGTGCCCCTTAAGCCCAGGGGAGGCATTTAACGACACTTTAGACACGATCAGTGACTTACGTCGCATCTCATCTCCAATATTTAGCACGGCACCCCCAGGGGCAGCTGTCCTTGTGCGGCACAAGGTGATTCGGCACCTTGCCTGCGAGCAAACTTTTTAGACTTCCAGTCTAAGGCAATGATTGGTAGGTGTAATCCCAGTCAAGCACTACTGGACAACTACCGGACATCTGTGAAACAGAACTTCATAGCTCATCAGATACCTCCAGTATAAATAAAGATTCTGAGTAATTTTCGGGTAATTTTTTTGCGAATTTGACAAATGTGGTCCATGACACCGACACATGGTGGCTTGCTCTTTTCAAATGACGCCGGGGTAATGTTTTAACCCCCACTGTTGAAACACACTAAGACATAATTTTACGTTTAATACACCACCGCAGGAACAACCAGGGCGGCCTGCTGGATCTAAACCGCGATACCTTCGCAACAAGTTGGGCGCCCAGGTGGCACCCAGAGCCATTATTATTGTTGGTGGTGGTGTTGCTGTTGAAGGGGTTAGCACCGTTGCTGGTGATGTTGCTGTTGTGGCTGCTGTTGCGTCCCCCTCGTGCAGAGGAGGAGCTGCAGTCCGGCGTTGAGGCTGGCATTGAGCGGCTCGGTGGCACAAAGCCTGCGTGGGCCGAGGTGGAGGTGGAGCTGGAGGAGACGAGCGACGGAGGGAAGCCAGCGGTGCCGACTCCGGTCCCACACGTGCGTCCACGCAATCCCCATTGCCCACCTGCGGCTTCCGTTCTATCCGCCTCGTGCACCGAGGCCCGCAGCGGTTTTTTAATTAGCCCGTGTCCGTGCTTAAATGTGAAATTCTCTCTCTCCTCTCTCCGCGTCTCTTGCGAGAGAGAGGAAAAAAACAGATGCCCTCTGTCACCATCCTCCTCCTGTGGCAGCAGCGGCCTGGCTGCCCGTCCCCCCTTTTTGACCTTTGACTTACCATCACATTTTATGTTTGTTTGCATTCCCAACCCATCCCTTCGTGGTGTCTGCTAAGAGGGAGGGGAGGCACTCTCCCTTCATATGTATTTTATGGCTACCATGTGTTTGTGTCATTGTTGGAAGACAAAGGCGGCCAGGGAGGCTCTGATTCCATGGAATACATATTATCTGGTCTTGTGTGTTTGACCTATTTTCTTGTATCTCTTTTTGAGTTACCCTAGGTCTAATCTCTTGTGATATTATTCGGTTTATGTTTAACCAAGATTTGTAATGTCATTAGATGTTACCTCCGGTATTTCAAGGGTTTTATTAACTTTTGCTCCCTGTCTGCATCCAGGGATCCGTGCTTTTTATTCTCGAGGTCAGAGATATAGCTTAGTTTGGACTTAAGTTTTCGTGATTGCAGGAACTCATGTACTTTTGTTCTCTTGGTAAAGTCACGTAGATAGAAAGATACAATAAGAAATAAAATAAGGAATAGTGCGGTCTATCATGCCGACTTATTCTTATAGCCAGGCTTCGAACTTTTACCGTTAAAAAAATATATCAGTTATAATGTCCGTTTGCCCTGTGCTTTGTGTCCGTGCCTGTGATTCTGGATATTTGTTTGTGAACTGTCCAAAGCGCCAAGCAGGTTATGGCATGCGGTCCTTTGGCAATCTGGGGATTTTGCAGATGTCGTTAACCTCCCTTTGCCCCGGAGTTTATAATTTAATGGCCTTTTACGACCTCCAGATGCTTGGTGCTTGTGGGAGGTAGCGGGTTTGAGCAAGTTTTATTTATTTATTTTATCGATTATTATTAAACAAACGGCAGAATTATTCTTAATATACATTTTTGGAAAAAGGCCGATGTATACAACAGGACTAAACCTCCCGCGCGGTTATACCTCGGCACAGGTCCCTCGCAAGAATCTGCGAGGGACGCGTCGGAAGAAGCGCTTCACGGCCGCTGAGCTGCGTCTCCTGGCCGGGCTGGAGGTGACCGGGCACCGCGAGGTCCTCGCCGGGCTGGGCGTGCCCCTGGCCTTGCGTCCGGGGCGAGGGGCAGCCCGGGAAGAAGCCGCCCGCCCGCCGAGAGCACGCCCGCGGACCGAGAAATCGCGCGGGAAACCTCCGGCTTGCCCGCTCCGCGTCAGGGCGACGAGCCGCGGGGCGTCGGGCGACGAGCCGCGGACGACCGTCGGGCACGCCGCGGCACGGCGCCAGCGGCAGGGGCTGACGTCCGCCGAGCGCCTCGCGCTGGCCTCCTACAGGCTGGAGCGGATGGAGGGCGGCGCGTGCGGCCCCGACGCCGGCTCCTCCGACGGTGAGCGTCCGCAAACCTCTTGAGTGCGCCCTGGCGGCGGCCGATAACCGCTGGATGTCCCTCGGGGAGGGGGATCCCTCGTCGCGGTGTAGGTGTCGCCCGTCCGTGGCGCTCGCCCTGGCGGTTGGTTAGATCTTGCTGCAGCTCTAGGTGCTTCCAAAAAAAAACAAATCTGCAATGCCTTATCCAAGTCATTGAAGCAGTTGACAATGCGGATACATCTTACCTTGTTTTATGTATTCATAGAGCGCTTTCACTCGAGGTGCTTATCAACATAGTTTAAGAAACGATGACAATAGGATGATTTAGATGGCAGGGGTGTGCAAGGGTTGAGGAATGAGTGACCCCGATAGAGGGGTACTTAGGGGGTCACGAAAGGTCAGGGGAGGGACGGGAAGGAATCGAGGGTGGAGGGAAGAGGAAGAGAATGGGCAATAGAGGAAGAGGTGAGCTACATATGATCAAATCCTCTGTTGTTGGTCGTATCTATGTATGTTGATCTTCCTTCGCACCGTACATAGTCAACCGTGCTCATCGGAGGTGCGGGGGAAAGACAACAAGCTAAACACACAAAGCAGTTCTAAAGGAATGAGATTTTAATCTAGATTTAAAAGTTCATAGCTCAAGTAGCTTCCTAATATCAGAAGGGAAGAGCTTTCTAGACGGCCGCAGAAGCGCATCTGAAAGCGCACGATGCAGTGACCATCTTTGTTCGATGGAGAGCCAAAAGCCGCTGCTGCGAGGATGATCGGAGTTTGCGTGATGGTTTATGCGCCTAGACGTCCTGAGCCAGTGGTGGAACTTCCATCATTCCAGGACGTCAACAGCATGATCCCTATTGACTTCCCACGCTTGCATCTGTAGGGGAGTGGTGGGTGACGTCGCGTCACGCTCGCCCTCGGAGAGAGTGGCGTCGCAGAACGTGACGTCAGGCGGACCCTGGGGGGACGGTGACGTCATGCCCCAGGGGGGTATTTAAAGCGGGACCCGGGGATGTAACGGGGGTCGTCGGGGGTAGGAGTGGGGACTCAGGGGAGCTGATTCTCACCCGAGGCTAGGGGAGGCCACTCCGCCCGACGGGCCGAGGCTGGGGTTGTAGGGAATCTGGGTACCCCTGTCCCCTGGGGAGTTATCGCTAGGGGGGTGGGTAGGCGTAAGCCCCTAAACACACTTTGGCGTAAGCCCCCAATAAACGTGGCGTGAGCTCCTAACAGCAGCCTCCCTCGGAGTCGTCATTTATGCCGCAACACATCTATAGACCCTAGTGGGATCAGCCGAGCCGACTTGTGACTGCAATGTGAACTCGCAACTTATTTCTCACGGGTCGGACAGCAAGAATTTACAGCTAAGGTTTTTCACAGCATTAAAATACATCCTTAGATGCTGTTAAGCCAAATGTAATTTCGGCAGCAAGTAAGCATTGAGTGATTGGCTCTCAACTCCTGTTTACAGCCCTGAGTCAGTGGTGGGGCATTTTGTAATGATTTCTGTAGTGTAAGCATCGTTGACTTCGTCATAAAGCTGTCGTCATTTTATTGCCTGCGAGCGTCTAACTTAGATTCAAACTCACGACCTTCCATGTACAAGCCGCTCGCTCTCCCGCTGAGCTGCCCGCCCGACCGGTTTAAACGACAGTCGTTGCTTGCCACTAAAGGAACTTCCTGTTGCGAATTCAATTTTATTTTCTACGTCGCAGAATCCGCCGCTGCCGAGCTTGATCCCGGCCGGCCGCGCACACCGACGGAGCCGCCCCATTCCGCGGCGTCGGCGTTTCCCAGCGGCGGCGGCGGCGGCGGCGGCGGCAACAGCCGCCCCGCGGACCGCGAGCGACGGGAGTCTGGGGGACGTGCGCTGGAGCCCACGCTACCGACTCGCCCCACCGCGGGGAGGGCTCCGAGAATCCCCCGCGGCACCGCCGTGGCTCGACGCCGTGGGACGCGCGCCGGGTGGGAGGACTCGACGGTGGCGCTGCTGCGGGCCAACGGAGACGCGGCGAGGAGGCAGCTGAGGCTGGTGGAGCGCCGCGCCGCCCAGAACGCCCGCTGGCTGCGCGCGGAGAACGCCCGTCGCGACGCGGAGGTGGAGCTCCAGCGGGAGCAGTTGAGGATGCTCGGCAGCATCGACCGTCGGCTGAAGAGCCTTCCCTCCCTCCTGGCGCCGTTGTTGCGGCGATGGAAGAAGGGTGGTGGAGAGTTTCGAGCGTGAGGTTTCGGCCTCAAAGTGTGGACGTGGGTCACCGAAATGACGGAAGGAAACTGGTGGTTATCGAATGAACTCGCAGAAATGCAAGTGAACAGAAGAAAAACTGAACTATTGTTTCGCTCGAGGAGTTGAAAAGATCGTACGACTTGAACCCAACGTTAAATCAACGCTACGTATTAACCCTTTCCCATCGGAAGGAAAAGGCCATGCGGGAGAGCATGGCGCAGTTCGGCGCCAGCTATCGTAGAGTAGCCGTCGCGTCGCTGCGGTTCTCTGCGGCGAGCAGTGTACAATGTCTTTGCAAGAACGCCGCTACGCCCCTCTTGGTAAAATTTACCCCAACCGCTTGCGCGTTCCCAGATTCAGCGGTGATAGGGACACCCACCCTGCAACTTGCAGATGTCTCGGAGCGTGGAAATTGCCTCTGGCAGGTAAACCTCCAGATTGATCGAGATCACACCCAGGGTGATCACGGCACAAATGACAAACATTGTACGATACGGGTGAAGGCCTCCCACACACACTGTGTCGATCATGTGGGTTGCTTGGCCATACTTCACCACGCCGGTCAGTGCGGTTTGGTGAATGCGCGCTGCCACGGCTGATGTTAGCCATGGCGGGCAATCGAACTCGTGTTGCCCGGGTTTCAGAGCGCAGTGCGCTAACCCACCATGCCACCTCTCCACCACCACCTCTACTGTAGCATCACTCGCGATCAGTACTTTAACAGTGGTGGCTCCAGATACAAACAAGCCAAGTGAAAAAAATATCAACTCGAATTCAAATCCCGATTAATGTAACGTGCTAATCAACATCAAGCCAATTACGATCTCGTCTCTATCTAGTCTGCATCTCTCTGTCATCTCGCCACGTCCCTATGGTACGTCTACATTTTTCTCATGTTACATCTTGAACTATCGTCTCTGTCTTTTATTTCATTTCACTCAAGAGTTTACACGTTGAAACGGGGGCCCTAAAGTTATTTTCTAACCCTCGGACCGCCAAATAGGCCGTCACTACCCCCCAAAGTAAAGAGTTATTACCTATTGGTTCTTTCGGTAAAGTCACTTAGAAAGAAAATAAATTAAATAATAGCATACGACGTTTCGATTGCAACACAAGCAACTCATCATCATCATCAGGTACAAATGAAAGAGAAAACAAACCTAATCAACTTAGAAATATAATGCAATACAACACACAGAGTCGGCTTACACAACAGTAAACACCCCGCCTGGTTGATTAACGTTCTTCCAAAGATTGCTAAATTTGAGAGAGAGACAAAACACAGACACGGAGACACACAGACACACAAGCAGAGAGTGAGGCAACACAGAGTCACAGAGAGAGACACACACACATAGGCACACAGAGAAACAACGCCTCTGTGTCGAGGCCTTAGAGAGAGAGAGAGGGGGGAGGTGTAGAGAAATTAGCATGTCAATGAGAGACTTAGAGCTTTCGTAATTCCTGAAGTCACGAAAGCTCTAAATCAAGTTTAAAGAGTTATTATAGAGTTGTCTGTTATTTGCGCTGTCAGGAATGACGGTGTCCCGTGATATTTCTGTTGGCATCCAATCGGAGCGTCGTTAATTCATGAATTAAATATATTTTTCACAGTATTACTGCTTTCTCCACTTTTGACAAAGTGCGCGTGGGATTGGAACAGATTCAGATCCACACCTGGAGCTATTTTTAGGGATCCTCCCGTCAGACGTCTGTTGTGTGTGTGGACACCGAGCTGCGTTGTGAACGATGCTGGGAGTGTCGATGGGTGAGAGTCGTGGGCGAAGCGGAAAGAAAAGTGAGGTGACCTGAAGTGTGTTGAGTGAGTGTGTGGGTGATTCAGTGTGTGGTGTTGCGAGGAGCGGTGGTTTACCGGTTTGCGCGCTGCACTATGAACTTGGCCACCCAAGTTTGATTCCCGCTCACGGCCAACACCAGTGACGATTATCTGAACCGGACCTAGGTCGACTCAGCCTAAAATGAGTACCTGGTGCGGTGTGTAAACATCGCCACTGGGGAGACAAAAGGCGGCCGGGCGTGGTGTTAGCCACCCCACCCCCCCCTCGTGTGCCGTGCCGGCCTTCATAGGTGCTCGCTAACAGCACTTGCCCCTACAGTCTGTGAAGGTTGTATGTGGGATCTTTGTCTTCGTTGTGATATTTAAACACGGTGGTTGAACACTTTGCATGAGACGAAACAGTCAGTGTGGGGGAATCAACGAGTGAAGGTCACCGTCACAGCAACAACAATGGTAGTGTTAGCGATGTAAGAGTAATAACAATACTCGATATTGATCCATGATATTGTCAAAACGTGTATTTGCGAAACACCTTTGAGTGCATTCTTAGCAGGATTGCGATGTCTGGAATGAGCTGCATGCCGAGCTGCATTGTTTTTTTCATAAAAACGAGCTCTAAAAAAACAAACCGGTTTTTGTATCGGCTTACAGCTGCTGCAAAGGTCAGATTCCTACAAACTTGTACTCGGAGCCTTTGGGAGACCTGCATTTAGAAATCGCAATGGTAGCGGCCGAAACACACTGAGATCAGAGACTTGGGTTTTTGGAATTTGAATCTCGGGAAATCTGGAAATCTTGAGATGCGAGGTCTGATTCATTGGGGCTATATTTACTTACCGTCGTTCCAAGAGTATTTTGGCGGAATGACGGACATTGTTGCGGCCTCTCTCGCCTGCGTTCCACACGTTGGCCGCATACCCATATAACATGCGTTCAGTATTTGTCAGACGTTTCACATGGCATCCCAAGAGCAGAAATAGACGTTCGTGTGCTACTATATCATAATTTGGAGGGTGAAAAAAATGTTTCCTGGCTGGATAAAACCCGGGTTGGATTCCTGCCTGCCTGGGTGGCGTGCTCGCAGGTGCGCGTGCTCTGCGTTGGTGACGTCACCGCACGTGCTCTGCGTTGGTGACGTCACAGTGCGTTGTGACGTCGCTCGCATCCCACGACTCTCATGACGCGGCTTTTCATCCAGCAGTGGATAGACACGTTGCTGTGAATTCTACGATGGGGAAAAAAAAAGTTTTGCTCGCTGGCTGGCTGACTGGCGGGAGGGACAGTCACGTTCAAAGGACGTGTGCGGGCCTGCTCGTTAAATTTGAATAAATCCATATGATGGCTTTTATCTTTTTATTACCCTGGTCGAAGTGCTCACGTTTCGTTTTAAAGCTTTCGTGACTTCAGGGATTCGTATTCTTAGTTCTTTCGGTAAGTCACGTGGAAAGGAAATAATAAAAATACAACAATAAAATGATCACGACGTTTTGATTGCAACACAAGCAATCATCATCAGGTGTGAAAACCACAGCAAGAAATTTCTGATGATGATTGCTTGTGTTGGAATCGAAACGTCGTGAGAATTTTATTGTTTTATTATTTTATTATTTCCCTTCCACGCGACTTTACCGAAAGAAGCAAGAATACGTGTTCATATTTTGACGTCTGAAACATTATTCTGGACAAATTAGTTCCTGCTGCTGCGTTAGCAGTGGTTTCACAAACACAGTGAACAACAACAGACTCGATGCGTTCATCAATAACACCGTGGAGGAAATTGTATGTATATAATAGACGATGTTTTGGGTAATGGGCCTTCGTCATAGCACAAATAGAGAAAAGGCCAAGAAGGTGAGAGTTGGAAACTGCGATTTGCACGGTGGAGTTTTAGTTTGTGATAGCCAGGTTGCTTCTGAATAAGAAGCTGATAGCTCAGTGGGGCTTACCTGGTTAGATAAAAAAAATAGTTTAGTTTTATTTGCACTGTATATATACTTATTTATCTTCCTATACTTTACTCTCCTATCGTGTTTGTATATTATTTATTATAACGTTCTGGCCTGCACCCATTGGAGATCTACGAAAAAAGAGCTTCATAGCTCAACAGATGCCTCCAGTACAAATAAATATTCTGATTATATGAAGGCTATTGCCCAAATCGTCGCGTCGCCTGTTATTTGATTCTAAAACAAATTCGTGAGCTCCGAGCGGCAACAGCAGCAGAGGCAACAACAGCAGCAGAGGCAGCAACAGCAGCATCAGCGGTAGCGGCAACAACAGCAGCAGAGGCAGCAACAGCAGCATCAGCCGTAGCGGCAACAACAGCAACAGCAGAGAGAGGAAGTGAGCCACTTCGGGGTTTCAGTTTCGGGACGCGCGCTCCGGGCGTGGACAGCCCTCCCGTGACCACGCAAACTCCGCTCGCAACATAATGCACGCGCACACACACATACCATAGACAACGCGCATTACAGACACAAAATGACACGATAAATAAATAACAGGCACAACACAAGACAAACACAAGACAAACAAGACACCTTATACACAACATACCATACACGCAAACAACGCACAAATATCCATAAGATATTTTTTTGGCGGGGTAGATCGCACAAATATAACTGTGTCGTTAAACCCGCCACCACCCGACACAGCCAATTGTCCTCTGGCCTTCGCAGCTGCGGGGCTCACTAGTGACGTCATCACATCTTTCCCTCTATTTAAGAACAAAACAGGAGGAGGATTTCTCCACAAATCTGTCTATCGCCTGATGATGCTGGTTGTAGTTACTGGCGAAACGTCGTGCTCAGATTGTAAATGTTGTGGATTTACTCTCCAACACACCGGTGTGCTGTAATCGTAACGAATTGGCACGTTCTGTTTACGTGACAAACCTTACTAATTGGCTGTGTCGGGTGGTGGCGGGTTTAACGACACATTCATATATTTACGCGATCTATCCCAAAATAAACCTCATGGATAATATTGATCGCGAAAGCCTACGTGTTAAAACACGTAAATAACAACCACCATCTGCAACAAATACCCCATTTTACATTGGCGCACCTAAACCGTGCCGTGGTACAGGTGATTTTTCCATTGGATATTTACCGAGCCGTGCTATACGCGTGCCTCACAAGATACAGGATCTGAAGCTGGCTCGAACACAACTTGGGAGCTCCTTGCACTCTCTCCACAACTGCCGAACTTGCTCAAGAAGAGTCCACGTCGTAGAGAGTTTACACACAAGAGTGTGTGTCTTCTGATATACATTTCCACGTGACGATGATAAGCCCACTTCGTTGAGCTATCATTTGTGGCCAGGTCGCTTCTGAAAAAGAAGCTAGACAGCTCAGCGCGGCTTACCCGGTCAAATAAAAACTTTAGTTTTCGTATGGGTCTCGATGAGTATGGGTCTGCAGGGGTCTCCATGTGTATGGGTCTCTGTGGGTCTCTGAATATGGGTCTCAATGTGTCTCTGTGGGTCTCTGGGGGGTCTTTATGAGTCTGCATGAACATTCGTTGAGAGTATTTAGCGCTATAAGTTTCCACGCGATGATAAAAAAAAGAGTTTAGTTTTATTTATATGTATTTGTTTATCTTCCTATAATTTACTCTCCTATCGTGTTTGTATATTATTTATTGTAACGTTCTGACCTACCCGCATTGGAGATCTACGAAAAAGAGCTTCATAGCTCAACGGATTCCTCCAGTACAAACAAATATTCTGATTGTATGAAGGCTATTGCCCAAATCGTCGCGTCGCCTGTTATTATATTCTAGAACAAATTCGTTTAAAGGCCAACAGGCTGTGTTCATTGACCAATGTGTTGAGCACGGAATGGCGAGAGTGAACGACGCCACTGGCTACCAGCTCCGAGCGGCAACAGCAGCAGAGCCAACAACAGCAGCAGAGGCAGCAACAGCAGCATCAGCGGTAGTGGCAATAGCAGCAGAGGCAACAGCAGCAACAGCGGTAGCGGCAACAGCAGCAGAGCCAACAGCAGCAGCAACAGCAGCAGAGGCAACAGCAGCAACAGCGGTAGCGGCAACAGCAGCAGAGGCAACAGCAGCAGCAGCAGAGGCAACAGCAACAGCAGCAGAGGCAGCAACAGCAGCAGAGCCAACGACAGCAGCAGAGGCAGCAACAGCAGCATCAGCGGTAGCGGCAACAACAGCAACAGCCCCGAGAGGAAGTGAGCCACTTCGGGGTTTCAGTTTCGGGACGCGCGCTCCATGCGTGGACAGCCCTCCCGTGACCACGCAAACTCCGCTCGCAACATAATGCACGCACACACACACATACCATAGACAACGCGCATTACAGACACAAAATAACACGGTAAATAAATAACAGGCACAACACAAGACACAAACAAGACACAAGACACCTTATACACAACATACCATACACGCAAATAATGTACAAATATCCATAAGATTTTTTTTTGGGGGGGGGGGGGGGTAGATCGCATAAAGATAACTTTGTCGTTAAACCCGCCACCACCCGACACAGCCAATTGTCCTCTGGCCTTCGCAGCTGCGGGGCTCACAAGTGACGTCATCACATCTTTCCCTTTATTTAAGAACAAAACAGGAGGAGGATTTCTCCACAAATCTGTCTGTCGCCTGATGATGCTGGTTGTAGTTACTGGCGAAACGTCGTGCTCAGATTGTAAATGTGGATTTACTCTCCAACACACCGGTGTGCTGTAATCGTAAGGAATTGGCACGTTCTGTTTACGTGACAAACCTTACTAATTGGCTGTGTCGGGTGGTGGTGGGTTTAACGACACATTAATATATTTACGCGGT